CATCGATCGATCGATCGGCTAAGATTACCCGGTTTCTTCGTCGAATTCGCTGAACATCGAATAATGGTCGGAGAACAAGATCGGATCGGGAATCGGACGGAATCAGAGGGAAACCGCTTGGATCGAACGACTCCCCTGGAGATCGCAACCACCTTGATTCGTCCGGGTAATCCTGCGCGCTATTCTCAATCTGTAGGATAAGTCACAGAAATCCAGCGCACGATCGAACCTCGATACGCGAAATTTAAGGAAAGAGGTTTACAGGCTTTTCGAACGAGACTCGATCGAAATAGGAGAAACGAAAATACGGTACGGTCCGAGCATCGGAAATCGACGCAACCGTCGACGCCTGTGGGGATCGAAGGGGAAAGTTGTTTCCCAAGTTTCGATATAAATCTCAAGAAAGTCGCTTAAAAGTTTCCTCTAAACGAATTCCCGTTAACTCGATCTGGACCGTGATTCGAACGCCATCGGCATCCGATGCGTGGAGCCAAGGATCAATATTAATCTCGAAACTACACGGCCCGAGTTTCCGTTTAACAAGTAGAATTTAATCGAACGAAACTACTTTGCCGACTGATTTAACTTACCGTCCCTGGATGTCGATAAAACTCCCCTCGTTCGTACTGTTTCGAGTCGCGTGACTTGATTTCGTAATCGTTGCAACGGAAACGCTCGCCTGTATCGCGTAAATATAGATCGTAAACACACGCTAGTAGCTCTCGTAACGACAACCAAGAATATTTGTGCATCGCGTCGCGTCGCAGGCTGCGAAAGCAAGTTTCGGTATTCCTCGAGACCGATATTGCCGACTTGCTTTTCTAGGTACGTGGCTGGAGTAGTTGCTGCCACTTGCAGGATGCAAACAATTTCATTGATATCGAGCGTACGTTCGCCCACGATGAAAGAAATCGAGTTTGCCCGATAATTCACCGTACCAGGTTTCCCTCGGTCGAAAACTTCGATGCAGTATAGATTACGCGCGCATAAACAGCTTTATTCGCGTGTTTGCTTAATCGTCGATTACACGATGCCGACACGTCTGAGTAGTTTCGCCAACTTCCTTGGTGCAGTTTTCCATTGTAATTCAAAGTTCGCGGAACACGGAACGGCCGAGTCTCGCGCGACCGATGTTGATTACGATCCTCGTTGTTGCGGCAAAGGTGAAACCGGAGATGTCCGTAAAATTATCACCGGCGTAACCAGAACTCGTTAAAACGAACGTTCTGCTGGTAATTACAGCACCCTGGGCGCCCTGGCCGGTTTAAATTTTCGCTTGAACGGAACGGAAGATAAAAATCACTTTTTACGGTGGCTTACTTTTAAAGCATAGACGACTTAGCAACGGTCACGGTTTCGATATTAATTCGGTATTCGATTCGGACAGTCTCGTAATTCGTACGTCGCTAAAGAGATTGTTTTATCGAGACTGTGGTAATCCAGCAAATGTTTACGACGATGTACATCCTCTCCTTTGGTTCTATCAAGAAAGAACGAAGCCCTTCTCCGGCAGGATCAAAGCCAATTTGCAATGCATAGCAGGTGGCGGGAGGGGGACAAAAGCGTCCAAAGGGAAGGAGAACGGTATTATGGAAACAAGCGGCAAGTTCAGGAGTATCTTTCCGACCGGAAACGGGTCTCTCTCGCGCCCCCGGTAATTCTGTCTTTAATCCGTCGATTAGTCGCCGTTCCTGGAAACAATGGTAATTGGCTAGAACGGAGCGCCAACGAATTATCGTTCCACGAACTGATCGACTCCCGCGCAGGAGTAATAGAGACGGCCAGAACACCGGTTCGAATAAAATTTAATTAGTTCCCCGAACTCCGGGTCTCGGCTAAATTATAGGGAGAATTTAACAAACTGTTTTCGATCGATACGAATCGGTCTCTGTTTCGCGAACGATTTATTTCCCACTCGTCGACGCAATCTGTTCAGAATCGCGAAACGATCGACGCCTGGCGTATCTACCCTGTACAGCCTATAACCACCCGATCCGAAGCTTATAATCTACCCCCTGGTACGTCCACGGCAACGGGTTTAGACCAACAATTACCAGCCCTCTCAACGTTCTCCGTATCATCGAGGAAGGGTGCTCGAACCACACCACCCGGGGTACTATCGCGTGCAACGACCTTTTCCTCTTGGCTCTTTTCTTTCGCGTCGATATTATTCCCGTAACATTTCCAAGGGTTAGATACAATCTATGGTGGCTGTCGCCATTCACCGTGTACTCGGGATACGTGAATTCGATCTCCGAATAAATTAACGAGATATACAACTAAGGGTACAAGGGTAGTTGTCGTAAGAGTGCACCGTGATCCGAGATGATTTGTCCGACACGGTCCGATTAGGACGATCGATACTCGAACACGCAACTCTACACCCTTGACATGGCCTAAAGGACCATGATATTAACCCCCCGTGAAGGATTACAGATCCGATAGACATCGACGCGCGTCTCGAATCGATATTGGTTACCGGAAGCTCACCGCGGACGAATCGAGGCTGCGCTTCAATCTGAATCACGAGAGAATAACAGATACCTTGATCCATGATCGAAGAATCGATTGCCCGTGGGACTGGAAGTCGGATGTATTCCGCGAACGTTTCCTCCTAACGCGTTTGGTGCTTTTCGACTTATTTTATAGACGAATTAATTTTTACGGTCGATTATTTCATCGAAATCAACCTGTCGGGCAAAGTCAATCGAGTTAACTTGTTGAAAAGAAAGCGTTTGATCCGGTTTTGTACTCGATAACGGTAAAGCGGAATTTACGGGCACGAAATATTTGTTTGAATCGTAGTACATAGGACGATCGATGGTAGTAGTCGGCTCGAAAGTCGCGCGTAAATATCGTATCGCGTTTCGAAGTTCATTTAATCCGAGCTTTTATCGTATTCGAGCGGCGTGTGTTAATCGATCTCACCGGTCGCGTGGATTTCTTTTCAGCGTACGCGGTTAAGGCGTGATTCAACAATTTTATTAAGGCAACATTTAGGCAACACGTCGCATGCGATTACGACGCATGAAATCGACGTTATGTAGACACTTGACATGTGTATTTGCTACACATTCATTTGTTTCCTTTCCGAAATAAAGAAATGCGGGATTATTTGATACTGTTTTGTCGAATCGACAAGAATGAACGTGTCGAGAAATGTCGTCAGATAATGACAAGTAGCATGTTACAAGTCGCATAGTGTTGCCTCAGTGGAATCATACCTATAGTCTAGCATCGCGACGAGAGAAGATGACCGCTGCCAAGGATTATAGGGACCAAGTATCGGAAAAACCGTTCCCAGCCGACGACCCATATTCGCCACCGATAAAGTGTCTTTTTCCGCTTCTGTCGCGACTTGGTTACAGTCTGGCTTTCCGGGCGCGTATTTATATGCGCCGGTGAATCCGCGGCCAACGTCCGCGAAACTTTCCATCGTTCGCGAAACGTGAAATTAAACAACCCACCGGTTATTCGGTTCAAAATGAAATTTTCTCGCGTCGCTTGCGTTCGACGTATTCGCGGGAACAAAAACAAATACGGTCTTAATTGCGTAGTACCAACACGGCTGGGTACGAGTAAAAAATTTCATTCGAAATGAAAAGACGAGGACGGCGAGCGCTTCCCGACCGGTGGAACTCTTGTCGCGAACCGTGTCGCGTTTAGAAACTGCCGTCGAAATACAGTTTCTTGCCCGGTTTCCCCAACAACGCGCTGTCGACTCGATTTAGCGAGGATTTAACAACCCCGTTAAAGGAAAAATTGATCCGAAATTGGAACAGTTTGTCGTATGCGGCGGAACGTCAGCAGCAGCAGCGTGTGGTGCTTTCGAAGTTTCGTTGTGTCTGCGTTTCGATTAATCCGCTGAGTCGGCGCCCGGATTAATCCACGGATTCAGCGTGATAAATCGCCGTTTCTTCGCTGGTAAACCGGATCTGGCGTACAATTAGAAGACCATCGGAGCGCGATCGAACGGAATGCGTTCGTATAAATTTCTGATCGATTCCTGGTTGCCACGGGTAGCACTTACGTTGTACGAAACGATGCATGGATCGCTTGTTGAAACGTTACGATCGAAAATCGTACCTTTCCCCCCGGGATCGTAGATTCGTTGGCCCGTTTGACGCGTTTGGGCGGTCGAGGGACTCGGTAAACATCGTCTCGAACGTTAATTACGTTAAACAAACGCGTCGTCGAGGGTGTAGCTTGAACAATCGGGTCACTTAAACGGCTGCGAGCGACTCGAGGGCGTTTGGAGAAGTTAGTCCTCGTTTTGAAATTCCGACTGTCGAGTACACGGAGCCTCCGGGGGCCTCTAGAGAAAAGATGACGAAAGAAAAGGGGAGCGGTGTCAGGCTCGTTTCGAACAAACGCGAACGGATAATCAGAATTTTGAATTTAGTTTGAAACGAGGAAGCTATAGGAGACGCTCCGAGCGGTTGGTAAGCGGACGCAAGCTCTCTCTAATATTCCCAGACTTAATTACGATGACGAAACGAATCTGAGAAACGGAAAAATGCTTTCGAGGACGGGGTACTTTGGCGAAGCTCGAAAAAAATCTCACGTTCCAGAGTGAATTTTTGTTGAAATATCCTCATCAGCCACGGTAGTCCGTCTTTCCGTCTTTCCGTTTTTCATTTCCCGCGCCGCTTTCTTCTCATTACTTTTTCGCGCTTTGTCTCGGTCCTCTCCGTCCTCCGTTGTTTCTCCTCGTCGCACCGATTCGTTCGCTACGCAGTCTTTCATCATTCTCTCGTCTTTTCTTTACTTTTCCACCGCGTCCCCCCTTTCGTTTCCATTTGTCCCCCTTCTCGTTGCAGTCGAAACTATTAACGTCGCGGAACATGGTGGAAACTGTCCGCGCTACGTTCACCGCCGTAATCTTATATTCTTCTCGGCGTGCTCTCGTTTTCCCCAATCTTTCCTGCCGCGACAACTGTCCTTTGTCTCGCGAGGACTCTCGCCCCGTCTAACGAATCGTTTCTCGTTTCTCGTTGCAGATGCCGAAAGCAGCGGGCAGGAAACAACGTTACGAACCGTGCCGGTAAGTATCACGGAATCCTAATCGTCGTCGGTGTTGATCGAGACGAGCGTCGAGACCCGATATTTGTACCATTGCCAAAAGAAGAAATTACGTCGCGGAAGGAACGTGCTCGGAATCTATCGTAAATCGTTTCTTAGCTGGAAACCGTTGCCCTTTTTCTGTGGAAACCGACGCGACACCCCGTAAAACAGGAGCCAGAGTTTGCGTTACGTTCGCTTTGTTACGCGGACCGTAGCCGTTTACGGCAAGAAACACAGCTATTTCGTCGAGATGCGTAATCACGGGGAGCTAGTCTCCCTTATCAAAGAGATTATTAAAGTTTCGCGAACGGATTTGCCCGCGCCAAGGAAATTCCAAGTATACCCGTCGCCTCGTGAACGAGGCGAGGGAAATCCGGTATATTAACTGTATCGCGGACAGGAATATTCGGCCGCCGAAAAAATTTAACAAAATCACGCTCGAGCGTTATTTTTCTTCGATAACGGGAATATTTCATCGGTTAAGTATCGTTTGCGTAAATTTCTGATCGTTGGTAAACCGTGAACGTGCAAATAAACTTGCCCGCGTTGCCACTAACTCTCCCATTTTAAACAAATATCTCCCCGCTCTGGTTGGAAAATTACGCAAACAAATGGATATCGATTTAAGCGTTCCGATCGAACGGGCCGTATACACGCGTCGGAACGATCGAGCGACAAATTAAATTTACAACTGGCTTCGAGCGTCGCGAATAAATCAATTAAACGGATCTCTGGCGAAATAAAAGGAGTGAAATGTTAACCGAGCGAAACCGGGTATGATGGACATCAGTGTTCGGCGAACGTTAACGAAATTCTAACATTGTTGTTCGTTTAATTGCACGTCGTTGTATTTACGCGCGGAAATTCAATAACGTTCTCGAGCGCATAGAAGGGTATCTTTTGCTCGAAAAGCAATTTACACGGGCAAACAAGAGGAAATTCGTATGGAATAAAATCGAAACAATTAAATTACGGGAAATAACCGGTGGACTTGATTAAAAAATATTCTTATTTTACCCGCTAAAATGCGTTCAAAGTTAGGTAGGTACGCCGATCGAGCAAATACCGTGGAACAATTTAAACGAACGTAATATTCCGATATGGTTGAACTTTGATGGTAAGTTGATAGCGGTGTGCGATGCGGGGCTATTGGAGAAGTATCATAGCTGGTCCGGAATGGTGCTCGACTCGATTGCGTTCCAAGTAGCCGTTTTCATTTCCGTGGTTTACGTCTCGCGTTGATCGCGCATCCTAACGGGGACCAATGTTCCGGACGTAAAAATGGTTGCGATCGTTGTACGCACGGACGTAGAAATTGATCGTGGTCCCGATCGATTGGTTTCAGGGTCTGGAGACCTGGGGCTCGAACACGACCAGCAGGTTCGCCGAGGGTGCGGTCGGTCAAGGACGCCCTTCCCGAAAACGGCTCGAGCCAAACAAGCAACGCCAACAGGAGGAGAATTACGAGGGTGGGGAGGAGTACGCGGACGAGGACGAGGACGAGGACGAGGACGAGGACGAGTACGAGGACGAGCTGAAAGCCGTCGCGGAGTCGCACGAAGCGATGTCGAGAGACGACACTAGGAACTCGAACGTGTCCGCGGCAGCCGCGAGCAAAGACGACGCTGGACTCGGACCCACCGCCGCCAACAACTTCGACTCGCACGAGGTAATCACGGCCAACGATTCCGACGAGGATGTCGCCTCCAACGAGGCGATCACCGACGAGATCGTCGACAAGTACGATCAGGAGGTTCGTACCTTTTCTCTTATACCTCTTTGCTAGTCGACTTTTCCCCACAGCCGACACCACCGAAACCGACACACTACACCCTTTAGACAATCTCATATTTCAACATTTTTTGTATTATTTCACTTTTTATTACCGTTGCTTGGTAAAACTTTCAACGACCCACGTTCGCGTAACAGTTTGTTGCGTCACGTTGAGCCAGAGCCTTGACACCACCGTCGCGTCGTTTCGCGGGGGAGAACCATGACCCGAACACGGCCCAACCCTGACCTACCCTGCATCGAACCGTCCCTTATTTTCTCCGCTTCTTTCTCCGCTCTATTTACGACTAAGCTGGCTGCCAGCCAGGATAACCGCGACCGCCGTTCCAAGGGACAAAGATGCGACTGATTTTCCAATTTCCGTTAACGATACGGCCAATGCTGTGGGGGTGTAATTGGCACAGAAAGTAGAAATAAATCGTTCCGATCGATGTTTGAAACATTTGTACCTACCTTTCGGGAAATTCTCCGCCGCGGAACAGTGGCGTGTTAAGAGTCGAAAAAGCACGGTGTCGTTTCGACGCAGCTCCTATCGATTCCACCATAGGTCGCGTCGTTCGACTTAAGACTCCAAGTTTCGATTCGTTGAAACGGCTCCATCGACGACGCCCATTTCGCGTCACTGTCTAGAATTTAAAACGAAACGGAAAGCAAACGACGAAAAGAATGGAGAGCGGTACAAGTATTAAGTGGACTCTACCCATTTCACCCTAGAGAACCCCTACGAGTCTAACGTTTATCGATACGCGTATACGCGGGCCAGTTTCGTTGGACTATCGGAAAGTACTTTGCATCGACAGGAGTCCGAGCTGTTTCGCGATTGGAAAGCCATTTGTAACGTCTTAAGAGGGAGCCTTAAATTCTTAAAGGTACGCTATCTGTCTCCGAAAACGTATCGCAGACGCGACGTTACGAACTTCCGGAATCGAATACCTTTACGTAACTCCTTTTACTATCGAGGGACGGCGTTTTATCGCATTCTTTATTTACAAGACGCGTTACGGTCTTCGCGCGCTCTCTTCCGGGATTTAAACTTTATTCCCCCGTTGAAAAAATACTGTGGATTCTGTACTCCGTTCCGATAAATCCGAGAAAAATTAACGTCGCTGGGAAACTTTGGACCTCTTGGACACTCGTACGCGGCAGCTCGGTTCGCAATTATAATCGAGCGGTAACGCGAACGTTCGTTACGTGCTTTTTGTTCGTAACAGAGGAGGTTTATTTGGATCCCGTTGGGAACGAATCTTTTGCGCAAAGTTAACTAGGATCGCGAGCAAATATCGTACGTTTTTAAAATGCAGAGGATGTTCGGTTAAATATACTGTTTTACGATTTGATCCGCCTTTCTGTCTTTGGATTTGCTAACGAGTAAAATCGAGGAAATCCCGTCCCCGGGTTCCCGCGTTTCTGATAACTAGATTACGGATCTTTATGCAAATTCACATTTTTATTAATAAAATTAATGAATGTCTCAGCCCCTAAATATAATAATTCGTATCTTACTTTAAGTATTTCTTATATTTTATAAAATTTCCCATAAATGCATAAACATCCGCAGTCTACTGATAGCGAACATCGTTATTCTTCATCTACGGTAAAGTATGGATAACGCATACTAATTGCTGCGATTTAAGGGTTGCAAATTGAGTCGCGTTTCTGCCGACGAATGAGAATGTTTGAGATTTCGGATGCCCGTAACGTGAAAATATTTTATTTACCGGAGATCGTAACGAGGGCCGCTCGATCGCAGGTTTACGAGCTTCTGAAGTACAAAAAGGAACGGAACACCTCGAGTCACGGCGGAGACGGCAGATCGAAGACGAAACGCGTGCCGACCGTAAAGAAGGAACTAAGCACGCAAAAAGAGATACTGATAGGCAGCAACGAGACTCAGGCGACGGAAAGCCCGGTGTCGAATCATCCGATCGAGGCGATTCGAAGAGTAAACGTCGGATCGAACAAGGTGAGTGTCAAACTGAAACGTTTCCCTAATTTTAGCGAAAGGAAATTTACATATAATATAATGTATTATTATTACTATTAAAATTTACACGAGAACGTTCTCACGCCGGAACAACTAACGAACCGACGCTTTTGTTTGCAGTCGATAAAACTAGAAAGTCCGGCCGGAGGTGAAGTCCTCGTCGACGATCGATACTCCGACTCGGAGTTGAAAAGCTCGAAGAAGTTGGACAAAAGGCAAGAAACGGTTCTGAAGAATCTGAAATCTTATTTGTTGACGGAATACGCGACCGAGGAGGAACAACTGCAAAAGCTGCTTCGCGATCTCAGCGTAAGTTCGTAGGATACTTATCGTTTCGATAATTATTCGTCCAACGATTGAACCAACTGCGGGAAATACGGAATACTTGGTCGTTCGCGTTCCCCTATCTTTGACCCTCGGTTACGAGCATCTTGCTAGTTGATGTTTAAGCGAAACCGCATCGATAAATTCGACTGTATCCTTTCTATCCTTTGTAAACGAAGGAAACGAAAGATAGGTATCGGTAGGATCGCCGAAATCGGCTCCGGCGAATCTGCAAAGCGATAAAGTGTCGGTTGTAAAATGGCAATGCAGCCGAACAACGGTCAAAGGATTCGGCCAGGCGCGAGGAAATTCTTGTTCGGTGCGCGATGCAAAGCGAAAACAATGAAGAGAAAATGTATTCATCGTCCTTTCTTTCGCATCGTCGATCTCAAAGGATTGGAAATCCGCGATCGATTTACCGGCCAGCTAGGAGGTACTCTTGGCCGTCGCGTACACGAACGAATATAACCGACTTTGTTGTATCTTTGCACGGAATCCGCGCGGAATAACCGCAACGGCCGGCCCCGGCATGCGCAGCGAATAATCGTGGATTCCGTGAATCCGGGATTCCAAGCAACGTTGCACGCGTTGACTCGGTCGTCGTTAATGATCGTCTACTCCGCCGCTCGGAAAATTCCCGGCGACGCGGTGTATTTTGCGAAACACGTTCGAGCAGAAAAACGAGGGGAAAAGCGCGGCGACGCGGAACGAGGAAAAATTCTCGCCGGCGCTGTCGCTTCGAAATCGAGGCCGGTAAACGCGGCGTTTCGCTTCGTAACTTGGATTTCGTTGATATCCTCGTCGTTTCCTCTTCTTAATTCGAAGCCTAGAAGCCGCGCGGAACGACGCTCTATGGGAATGTTTGTTAGTGGTAAAACGGATGGTGCCTGGATCGAAAGCATGCCTTCCGGTAGGTTTTATTCGGGTCTGTAGTGAATGTTTTTACAGGAGGTTGTTTCGAAGCAACAAGATTCTCGTCTTTGTGTATACTAGAGAACGACGGACAGAGTTTACGCAGCAAGCAAATACTCGTGCTTTCGGCTATGGGATAACTAATCGTCGATACGCTTTCGACTAGGCTCGAGAGGACGCTCTGGAGGAGAACTGGCTGAAAGTCCTGGTGAACCTAGCGGAGAATCAGATCCGACGGGAACGAGCGCAGAAACTTCTCCGTAAGTAACGTTATCGATATACGAGTACCCGCGTATCTCGACGAGAAATCGTCGGGAGGGAAAAGAAGCCTGCGAAACGGTTCGCGATCGGTATCACGGCGGAATAGTTGGATTCTCGTTAATCGTCGATCGTATCGGGACCGTGTACGCGCAACTTGGCGCAAGGATATCGGTTCAACGAATAAACGAACCTGTTGGAGCGTCGCGATGGGAACGATCAAGACCAGCGACTGATTATCTCGTTGAAAAGTTTCGAAAAACGTTGCGTGTTTCGAGTTGTCGAAAGAGCAGAAGCCATTCGTACCGAAAGAGCACCGAACGCTATCGAGGATCCAATAAAGTCTCGCGATCGGTCGATCAGACGGTCTTAATTGCCCCTTGACAATTACTTTGTTCGCATAACGTGGAAACGAATGTAATTTGCCCCGGAGGAGCCTCGAAAGGAACGTGTAATTAAAAAACTCGATCGATTCGGTCTTTTGTTAGATTACGCGAAAGGAAATAAGATTAGAGCGCGACCGTTTCTCGATTCCTCGCGACTCGTTTCGCGCCAAGGGTTGTCCATTAATTTGGTAATTAACGCGCGTTGCTCGCGGTGGGTAATACGTATACGGGGACAGTGAATAATCCGTGAACAAGTTAGTTCGTAGACGAGAACAACGCGTAAAGAGCTTTGCGCGCGAAACCATCTTAATCTCCGTTGCAGGAACAATGCCGTTTTAATGACGGCCATTAGGTAACGGCGATGCGCGTCGCGAGTCCTTTGCTTCGAACACGAAATGGACGCGTCTCGGTCGTAGGTATCTACCCACCCGTTCGATTGAAAATCATCGTTCACGATTGTTGTCAGTAAACACGGTGAACGAGACGAAGCTCCCGAGAAACGGCCTGGACCCGGCTAACCGAGGCTACGTTTATCCCGCCGCGACGGAATCCTCGATCGATTCGAGGAAGTCGCGCAACAAACTCACCAACAAGAAGAAGAAGAAGAAGAAGAAACAAACGCCAAGACGTCGTTACTCCACGAGCACGTTTGATCCGTTACCAGAGACGACCACCACCACTACCACCACCACCACCAGCAGCAACACGGAGACGCCGTCCGTCGAGTGGCGTCTCTTCGCGGAAAGGCTGTTCGGTCCGTCTTGGAATCAAGAATCGAACAAGAATCCAGGGACTTTGGCCTCCGACGAGTTCACCTCGGAAAGGAGGGTCGAAAACGTTCCCGAACCCGAAGATCGGAGGCTCGTTCGATTTGGGAAACTCGGTGGCCGTTGGCCCGACCGACGAGAGATCGCGAACGCGTATCTGGGTACGTACTTGCGTCGTTGCGTTCCGGCAATTTTTAACGTGTCCCTCGCTTTGCAGACTCGGAACGCATGCCGGACTACGATCTGGACGAATCGTACCAACGACTACGGTACGATCAGCACCAGCAGGATCATCGAAGCGATTTGAACGCGCAGGCTGACGGTTTCGAGCGGAACCGGGACTACGAGGCAGAGGCGCGCGATTTCGCGGCGAGCAAGAGCTGGCCCGACGCTAGCTACGAGTACGATTCGCCTTGGAACACCGCACGACAACCACCGATGCCGATCAACTCCGAAACCTGGCCTTGGAGGCAGCAACAGCAACAGCAGCAGCAACCTCGAGACGACTCCGAGTTCTGGTCCTCGCACCGTAACAAGTTCCAGCCGATGGAGGAAACCTATCGGTTGCAGTTGCGCGACGACCACGCGGAAAACGAGAAACTCTGGCACCCGCAGCGGATGCATCTGCCTTGGAACAGAGACAGGTCAGTTTGCGTCCTCGCCTTGTTCTTCTACTTGAAAATCTTTGCTCTATCGGCTCTTTCTCTTATCCTTTCTTTCTTCCCCGATATATATATATATATATTTTCACCGAAAAGGTTCCAAATGTATTATCAACATTACATGTATGTCGATTCCCAAACGATGCTACAAGGGTTATCACTAGACTGCGGATGTTTATGTATTTATGGGAAATTTTAATCCTCAAAAAACTACAGAATGCATTTAATATGCAAAAATATAAGAAATGGTTAAAGTAAGATACGAATTATTATATTTAGGGGTTGAGACAGCCCTCTGCAAAGCTTCCATTTCTATTAATAAAAATGTGAATTTGCATAAAGATCCGCAGTCTAGTTATCACCTATCGTTGTCTCGGTCTCGTTGCTTTTTCCATTATATCGAGTCCCGTAAATACGGAAGGCTGTCTCGAAACGATGACACGCGCAAGTTGTTCATTTGTTTAGAAGCAATCGGAAGTTGTGGGTATCGAACCGTCCAACGATTCGGACGGAGATTCGAAGCTAGAGTAGAATAGAAACGGTCGATCGAGTAAAATTGTACCGCGTCGCGCCAACTACGCGGGTATCTGAAACGTCTGAAATTTGTCGAGACAGGTCCGCATGGCCGATAGAACGGTCCTCGAAAGACTCTCCTCAGTGGCAACGGAACGAACAATCCGCGAGGATGTACGATCGCGAGCAGACTGACCCAGCTGCCTGGGAGAAGGGTGAACATCGCTCCGAGGCGAACGGGTCCTCGGCGAAGCAACAGTCCAAAGAGAAGATCGTTTTTCCGAAAATCACGATGAAGACGTGGAACAGTCTGACCTCGGACCCGGCTACCTGGCCGCACAAGCTGCCGGGCGCGAAACCGTGGCCGAAAGACGAGAACGGAAAGTCCTACAACCCGAACGCCGATCTCGTTCGGAAGCTAGGTTTGGACAAGCAGAACGACACGGCGTGGTCGTCCAACGAAGAGACGGATAAAACGAACGGGGATAGGAAACCGAAAGACGAGAAGCAGAACAGAGTTTACGGTTTGAAAGAGTCCATGATCGGGGACGATAAATCGGACGGCGACGAGGCAAGGTCTTTGGCCGACTCGATCACGCCTTGGGCACGGCTGGCGGAATCGAAAGGCACGAAAGAGTGGACGGAGTCGAAAAGTAAGCAGTCCGAGGATACCGATTATTGGAAATGGCCGGGATACCAGGATAAAAGCTCCTGGCCGAACAAAGCCGCTCTGCCCAAAATCCAATCGGTGGGTGCTTGGGTGTTGTCGCCGGACAAAACCGCCTGGGAACCGTACCGGATCGAGCCGATCGAGCTCGCGGACGAGGACCACGACGACGATGGTTCCCGCGGTTGGTTGAAACCGATCGGTAGGTCGAGTACCGAGGCCAAGTGGTCCGACAAAGGATCCTCCAGGTCGGACAAACCTCTCTGGTCGAAGACGTCGAACGATGCGGAGGTTTGGAAATCCGGGAAACCAGGTTCTTGGTTCGCGAAAACGAAACAGACGGAGCAGTCGAGCGACCCTGACTCGTGGAAAAGGAGAGAAGGAGGGTTGGCGTGGTTGAAAAAAGCTCAGTCCTGGCCGACGCGGAACGGGAACGAGAATTCTTGGACAGGTAAGGGGGCCGATGTCTCCTGGTCGACCAGATCCAACGAATCCTGGCCGTCGAAAACCACCAACGGGCAGACAGCCAACCACGTCGCGGATTCTTCGTCGGTCAAGACGAAGGAGAACGACTCGTGGAAGATCGAGGACGCGTGGTCGGGAAAGTCGAGCGATCGGAACAGCGGTGGTGGTTCGAAAAGCAACGAGCCGTCCCCTTGGCAGCGAAAGATCAACGAGAAGTGGAACTACGACGACAAGGCCGGCTCGACGGGAACCTGGCCGTCCAAGTGGAAGCAGTTCGCCTACCATCGAGTAACGGCCATGCCGATCTCGAAACCGGGAACCACGTCCGACGGTGTCGCGTCCAAGTCGAAAAACGCGTTCGTCGCTGTGTCCGCGGTCTCGTCGCCGATATATACTGGACACGAGGGGAAGAAGGACGAGGAGGACGCGGGGAACGAAAGAACAAGGTCCGAGGATCAGGGACGGTCTAGCGATAATCAGCTTCGAGCGAATCTCGAACGTCCTATCAGCGCCTGGAAGAAGGACCTTGGTCAGCGCTCGAGTTCCACGAAAGTCAACGGCGATCCGCAGGAGAACAAGCACGAGGCACTCGTGCAAATTGACTTCTGGTCCTACGGAGAGGACGAGGCTGAGGTGAGCGCCGATCGCAATTTATTAAATTCCGTGCTCGGCTCGGAAACTGTATAGAACGAGCGAGGGTTTCGGACCGTCGTTACTGCTCGGTAGAGTCGTTGACCGATATTTCATCGAATCCATCCGCGAATTAACATCGTGCACGCGCACCCTCGCTGATAAAACGTTAAAGAGACGCGGACGTTTTTGTCTATCCGTGTCCGCGGATAATAATAAAGCGCGATCACCGAGTCGCGAGAATCGAGAAAAGTCGAGACGATCGTACGCCGCGACCGGAGGTGCATCTGCGAGTCGATCGCGCGTTTCCTTGGACGATCGATCGAGTTACGAGACCGTTTGGCCCGAACTTCCCGTCAAGAAACTTTCCTCGCCGAATTGGATTCAGCGCTTGGATCGCGTAGAAAAGTTTCTCGGCGAATAGTTGGCCGAAACTCGACCGCGCGAGTAAATCACGGCTCATTGTACTTCGGAGCGTGCGAAAACCGATCGAGTTTCTCAATCTCTAATTCGGGGGAATTCGTCACCACCGTTGCCCCCATCTGTCATCCTCCCTCTCTTTCGCTAACTTGTACGTAGACGGTTTCACGACGCTCCTCTTCGACTTTGTCCAGGAATGCGTTTCCAAGTTGAACATTCTTCGGCTACCTCTCGATAAATTAAACGTCCTGGCACGGAACACCGATTCGCGGTGATAATACCGTTGCATGATTTAACAAACCGATGGGTGGTTTCGATGAAAAGAAGTGTGCTCGCGGTATTTAAGAACGGTCAGAAACGAAACGGGCTGCTGCTGGTGGTGCAGCTCGAGAGACACTCGAATTGGAAGTAATCATGATCGTTGCGGTGTGCCTTTACGTGCCGCAATTTCCGGGATCCGTTGACGAGGACGTGCCTGGACTCGGACGAGATGCCTGCAAGCCAGCCGACCGGCCGGAAGCGACCGATGCTTTCCTTCCGGTGCGGACCTTACGTGATCTTTCGTTTGATTGGGAAAGTTCGCCAGGCGAAACGAACCATCGTTAATTAAAATAACAACGTTTCTTTTTGCTCTCGGTAGTCTCTCCCAGCGAGAAAAACGTTGCTTTCAAGGGCGACAGGACAGCTCGATCTCGACTGCTAACAGATCTATGCAGATTCACGTCTCGAGGAGACAAACGGAGTACGAAATAAAGAAGCAACGATCACAAACAAGAACGTTGAAAAGAGAATCGATGTACGAAATACAAGAATATCGCTTATTCGTAGGAATTTTAGGTTACCGGCAGTTTCCACGGAAGGAGAGCTCTTTCAACGATAAGAGAAAGCAAGATAAAAAAAGTTTACTCGCGCGATCACGTAACCGTCGCTTTTCGTTTTATTTTTCCTTTCTAAACGAGTCGAAACGCGTCGTAATCGGACTAATTTTATATGTATCTTGGTGATAGATTTAATCGTAGATAGGAAGACGTACACGCACGATTGCTCGAAACTTGTTTCTCCGTTTATTTGCAGAAAAGAAGATCAACGACAACGGGCGTGACGGAGACGACGTCCACGGTCCCGACGAACGTCACGTCGTCGTCGGCGCCCCGTCGCGCGGGGACCAACGGCCTCCTGGAAACGAATCGATGGACGATTTCGATGAAATAGATCGATAATTTACGGTAGATCCTGATCCTGATCTTGGCCGACGCGCGCGTACCGATCTGTTCCGTCGACGGCGACGATAGACCACGCGATGTCTGCGAGGAATTTAAAAAAGCGAGCCCATTGGCCACCTGCCAAACGCGCACCGTGCCCTGTCCTCGAACCTCTTCTCGGTTTCTGGTATCATCGGCGTCGAGACCTAACCATTCCTCGAACGTTGCGCAAAAACCTTTCGTTTTCCAGCTTGGAGAGATTTATGGCCGATACGTAAGGGCAGAGGAAATATCGTCGCCTCGGTGGGCACGTTTTCAGAACGAGAGGGGCGAGCAATCTTTCCCGTTCGCATACGAACGAGAACATTCGGATTCAGGTCCGCGATCTAACGAAAATGATATTTTAAATACTTCCGATACGCGTTCTCGCATTGCCTTGCCCGTCCGAGCTATTTTAAACCCACACTACTCGCAGCTCTACCGCGTACGGTCAAACCTTGTCCCCTTCGTCGATTAATTACCAACGATCGCATTGTTTAAACTTTCGTTCTTAAGCTCGAGTCTCGACTAAATAAAAGTACCGAAAGTATATATATGTATCTGCCTTATTAAACGGCTCGGTGTTCGATAAGCGATCGATGGAGGAACGCGATTTCAACGAAACCATCGATTCCCATTGAAGATCGAGCGAGCGATTTCGAGAGCATATTTGAAATTTAGATGAAACTCGCTCGGATTTTAAAGACCATCGTCGCGTCGTCTCCGCGGTCGAGTTGTATATCGATTCTCTCCGTGATCGGTTTTACTCTTTTAAAACTCGGTTTTCCCGTTACTGGCTACGAAGTGTGACTGGCCGACGCATACGTTGTTGCACACGCACGCGACAAGGGACGATAGGGCATCGTCGTAAGGGTACGCCGGTCGGCGTGTCTCCTCGAATTTTCAGAATTCATGTACCTTTATAGGATCCTCTGTATCTATCCGTACGTAGGATATCGATTTAAGGGAAACGAAAGAATAAATGTCGTACGTTGTATATTTCCGGCCTGTGTTATTTTTTCACTCGTCTCCGGGAACCGATACTTTCACCGATCCTCCGTTCTTTTGCATTCCTCGATCGTTATCGATAAGAATCGTTACACCATTATTTAATACATAACTATTTTATCTATAATAATTATCGTAGTTATCGATGCTCATTTAGAAGAACACCGTTCCATCGAGTTATCTTGTTTGTCTTTCGACGTAATCGAATGAATCAGTCGATATCGACGCATCGTTCGCGAATTATATGTACGCGGGAACTTACTGGAACGTGTAGACGACCTCGATACTTGTGCTTCTTTATCTCGTTACAAACATACGCAATTAACGTTTAACGTAAATATCACCATGGATTTCTCAAGCAGCGAAGTGGAAATTCAAACAGATGTGGTACGAACAGGTGGTACGACAGACCTTGCACTTGTTGTTACGAGGCAAGATATTTATTTAACACAGTCGGTAACACGAATTTAATTTATGCAATTTGGTACGACAAAAAAACTTGGATTTGAATAAGAATCAGATAACACGTTTAATTTTCATTTTCAGAACAAAACGACTAGTTTTCACAGAAAAGTACTATTTAAGAAATACATAGCAGCGGAGTGTTGCGCGGCGTTACGACAACGATCGTAAAACGACTGGGTCAGCAATCGGAATGTAGCAGATTCGAACCCTGTATCCCTCTTCTTCCCTTATTTATACAATTGGTGCACCTTGGACGGTGCGAAGTAAAATAAATAAAATAAGGCTGATTGCATTGACGTTTGCGTCTCGATTTCAAGGTAATTTTGCCGCCACGATAAGATAATAGCCGACCAATCGTTCCGTATGACCTGTATGGAGGTATATATACGAGATGAAATCATGAAAACAGCTAGAAAACGTAGAGTCGGTAGATCACTGGCCGCACAGGGTGGAACTAGAAAAATCATGGCAATCGCGAAATTCTTGCTGATCGGCAGCCTGTTGGGTGTCTCCGTTCGGGAGATCTACGGCCACGGTATGATGATGGATCCTGTTCAAAGGAGCAGCGCCTGGAGGAAGGGATTCCCGGTCGAGCCGAATTACAACGACAACGAATTGTTCTGCGGAGGAATGAACGTAAATCTTTTGTTTATCACTATCTTACCGTAGAATAATGTACGGGCTGAAATGACGGGTTTTGTCGGTCACCGGTACGTCTCCTGAAAAACGCAACGTGCTGGACACCGGTGTAAGGATGGAAGGCGGTTCGCTTCTGTTATTAATTAATTTCTCGTCCCGCGTAGGTTCAATTCGAACAGAATGGCGGGAAATGTGGCGAATGTGGTGACAATTATGCTCTCCCGCGAGCCAGACCGAACGAAAATGGCGGGATTTACGGAACTGGGCTGGTCGTAAGGAGGTAAGCGATCGATCGCCACGCGAACGTCGGGTTCCGATGGGCTATCGATCGAACACTTGGTTCCAGGTACAATCGCAGCGAGACTATCAACGTTAACGTAAAGTTAACCGCCAACCATCGTGGAACGTTCAAGTTCGATTTATGCCTGCTGGAGCGGTCGAACGAACTCGAGACCGAGGACTGCTTCGGTCGTCACCCGCTTCTATTAGCAGACGGATCGAGCAGTGTGCCAGTGCCCTCCACTCGGATGGAGTTCAACGTGCCGATTCGTTTACCTGGCAACGTCACGTGCGATCGCTGTGTGCTCAGGTGGACCTACCGTGCCGGGAACAACTGGGGCGATTGCGGTGACGGTCAATTTGCTATGGGCTGCGGACCCCAGGAAACGTTCAAGAACTGCGCCGACGTCGCCATCTTATAACCGAGTCCTTTATAAACGATCCCCCCGATGATCAACGATACCAAATACATATGTATATCATTGTTTCGATACATTGCACGTGCTCAATCAATAATATTTCATTATTTCACGTATACAATTATTACCTTGAAAATTATATTTTAAACAAAATAGTATCGCGTGTTACGGTTCACGGGCCCGACCAAAGGAGACATATTCGGAACGCGAAATTGCCGCCAACGACTGATAGCCAGTTATTCGGACACCGTTAAATAAATTGCGCGTAATTCGACAGCTGTAATTGCGTCATTAACGGCGGCATTGCGTGAAACGTAAATTCGCGGGTGAACGATAATTGCTAGGACCCAGACCGCCGGTAAATTCGATCCCGGTGGAATTACCGTATTCGTAGCTGCTCGATGGTACCGTCTCGATGATCTGTGTTAAATTTAAATCCCGATCGTTTCGAGCTGCGCGAAAGGAATAACCTGTCGATCGAAAGAACAGCTGTCTGTCCTCGAAGACTGTAGTTCTCCTACTAGAGGACGCGCGGCGAGTTGATCGTCGTTGGCGCGGCGATCAGCTTGTAGCAAGGTGAGCGTGGAGAATTCCCCGGCTGGCCGGAGAGGAGGAATGAAAGGCAGAAACCGAGGCAGGAGGAGGTAGATCCCGCTCACCGGTGTGCACTTCACCTCCGGCCTCGGCACGGATCGCGAGCAAACCAACCGACGAGTCGGTGAACCGAGTGAACCGTTCCGTTCTGTTCCGTTCCGTTCCGTTCAGTTTACGATCGAGTGTGTTGAACCGCGAGCGGTGTCTCCGTTTCGAAGAAAACTAGCACCGCCAACGGTGCAGCCCGGACGTGCGTTCGATCGTGTGCTTCGATTTCGATTATCGTGTGACGGATAGTACTGCCGTCGCGACGCGGCGCGACACGGCGCGGCGCGGCGTTTCGTTCCGAGAACGTTTGCGTGAAACTGGCTAGAAGAATGCGGTAAGATGCTTGTCCAGGAAAGATGTTTCTTGTGCGCGGTCGTGGCAATCTGGCTGTTAGGCGGGGTCGCGTTCGCCTCCTCGGCCCTCGACCGCTTCGACCGCCTCGACCGCGAACCACCGACGCAAACAATCACCTCCGGTGAGTCCCCCGTTTCTTGCTTTTTCCCTCCGTCCTTTCTACCGAGCGCGATTTCTTCTTCCTCCGCGCGAAACCTCGATTTCTCGCGATTCGTTTCGCTCGTCGCCGCGCGTATTTGTGTCGTTCGGAGAAACTTGCGTCGACGTTCCGCGGCCTGATCGTAAGTCAAGCTGCTCGAACGTATAAAAATAATTAATTAACCGCTCTGCGAGGAAGGCTTTATTAATTAAATCCAACAACGATCCTTTACGTTTTGGTCCTCGCCCGACAGCTGACGCGAAATGCTCGACGAGTACGTAACGGTATTCCACGTGAAATCGGCAAAAAATTCTGTCACGTCCCCGTTCGATGGATGATGTCATCCGCTTGAATAAAAACGGGGAATAAAGAGGCACCGATCTGCCTCGACGTCGCGCGGAATCGAGTTTTCTACGGGGACCTGTCGTTATTTCTCCACTCGGCGAACAAATTTCCCCAAACGAGATGCGACAGATTTCGCCTGCAACGGAGGGATGGTCCTTTAAACGCATCTATGCGCTTTGAGGTCAACGTTCCCGAAAAATAATACCATTCTGGTTTCCAATTTCAAGAACAAGTTACTCTTCCTGATACCAAGAACGGCGACTACGTTCCTTCTGTAAAAGTCGAGAACTAGAGTCGTATACGCGAGGCGAGTAAAAACGGGCAGTTCGAGATACTGGACCGTAGACTCGTGCTCGCCGCGTGGAAAGTTTGCGCCGGCGATTACTTTCCACGAGGGAAGATTCCACGGGGGAAATCGGACCCGGGATCCTGCTCGACCCTTTTCGCGCCTATTCTCCTGATACTCGAAACTCCCGTCGATTCGAATCCTAATGAAATTTCGGTTCGTTGTTTAAAACGCGATAGACAGGGGGAAGTAGCAGCGCGAATGTAACCGATGCGCGTTAAATCGATTTCTGCGGTCGTGCGTGTCTCTCGGCGACTGTTTCGCGCATCGCTGGTCACTCGCGAAGGTAAACAGACCAGGAGACGCGTATTATGCGAGAGGGAGAGGCGTCGAGATACGCTAACGGTAGCGTTGGATCCAGTTGGCGAAGAAACTGGTCGGCGACGCGACGCGTGTTCGTTCCTACGAACGGCCTTGGGGAAAATTAAACCAACGTGGAACGACGTGTAACGGCCTAAAGAGAATGTTTGCGGTTCTCGAAGCCGAGACACGCGTTCGATATATCGCGCGTCGCGGAGAAAGGGCGACCGAGAAGAAGCGGCGAAACGACGAAGAATCGAGACGCGATGATAACGCACGATCCTCGATGGCGCAATAAATCTCAAGGAAACAATTTTATTCCACTCGAGAAAGTTTGAAAGAAAGCTGCGAGCAAAATTTCATGGAAAAAAGAAACGCTTCGATCGCGGTCGTGTAGTCGAAAAAGGCTCCGAGACTTTCCGAATTATCGCCTCTCTCGATCGCCACGAACGAGGGTTACCACGCACGCTAACCTAGTATTTATGACGTGGGCAGGTAGGCTAGCTCGACCAAACCCTCCGATCGCGATGTTTTCTTAATAATGAAACACGGTGACTAACAGCGTCGCCATTACTGTTACCATCAACGCGTCGCTGTTCTTATAATAGAAAACGATTCGAGCAGATCCCAAGATATTAGAACATGCACGATACCGTATCACTGTTAAATCGGAACACAATTCCTACCGCTGCACACTATCCTAATTAAAGTGAAAGAAACGGAAATGACGGCAGCAACAACGCGCGCAGCTGGCCTGGCAAAGCGGGAACGAAACATTTTTAATTGCATCCCGGTCGTGGTAATTGCAGAAGCACGTCCTTCGGCTCGCTCCGAGAGGTGCATTCGACTCCTTGAACGCGTAGACACGCGTTGCACCATCTCGAACGCGTTCTCCTGCTGGATCTTCTAGGTCTCCAACCTACTCCTAATTAAATAACGATTACGTATCCGTGATACGTATAATATTCTTTAATTTGCGTAACCGGGAACGACTTTCTATCTCGTGTTCGCGTCGCACTGGTCGTTGATCCCACGCGATAATTCTGTTGAGGTTTCAGCGTTCACATGTACGAAGATCGTACGCCGCGACACGGCGACAATTAGGAGGTCTCTCGAAAATAAATAAAATCCAAAGTACGTGCGAGTGGAGGAACGAAAGAAAATGGTTCCCGTGGATCGAGACGAGGCGTTGCGTAGATAGTACAAAGTCTTTTACGACGTTCTCGATACCATCCTGATCGGCAACGATCAATTTCTCTTTTCGCTTAAGTGCACCGGTTCAGCATGCACCGTGTACGCGTATTCCGTCTAGTACGTGGACGGAACGCGCGTATAATATGCGCCTCGCGTAGAACACGAAGGGGGCAGAGAACTCGGTAGGTTCGCCGCGTCTCTAATCTGCGCCGAGTCGAGTCCGTTCTAAACGGCTCTCGATATCTGCTCCTGTCCCTCGCGACTAATTTCCTATGCTCTTTCGCCTTCTTGGCTCTCTACGTACCAAATAAATCCATGTACGACAAACATCAGGGCTCATGGTTCTTTAACGAATCTTTTACTGCTCTCCCCGCGTAACAAATACAGCTCCGTTGTCCTTTTCCTGCCATATCAATACCCATAACGATCGGTAATGCAAAGAAATATAGAATCAACGATACGTCACCGTGTAAGGTAATTCACTTTCGTTGCGGGTAAAATAATTTCAAAGATAAATGCGGTCGTGGATCGGAGACTTTAACGGCCGCAAGCAAACGGTCCACGAGGCCGTAATATAGCACGTATCTCGAAGCGTTCGACTCTCCAACGTGACACGAAATAGACGCGATGGACTGATTGCATCACGAAACACTTGCGCTCGTTTCTATTATACAACCTTTACGGTTTATCCACGTTGTTAACAGAGAAGACGGGGCACTCTGGTCTCGATCGAACCAGAGTGAAAGCAGAACGCGATACGATCTTGAAATATTGAATTCATCCAGCCGCCCCGAAACTATTCTTTCTCTCTTCGCACCCGATGACGAAATAAATGGTTAGAAGAATATTAATTTCTTCCGCGAGTAGAATAATCGAAAATCGTCGAATAACTTTCTTTTCGACGTTGGCTCGATTGTCCCTGATTTATTATTCGCGGTATACGTTCTTGACCCGATTCGAAATGATTTTTCACGCATGACGAAAGGATGAGACATAAGTAGGTAGGTGTATCGTACGCAGCGACTTTCTCCAATGCGGATCGACTCATGGAAGACCTCGATGACTCGCGTCGGTGATTAATTCCGAATGAAAACCAGAGAAATGCTGCGTTTGCTGCGTGAATCGAACGAAAGAAATTGAGAATTCCGGTCTTGCTGGTTTTGGATTTAGGATTCTCGACTCGGTCGAGGAAACTACCGTTATTTTACTGCTGTGGACAGTAGAATCGGTATCCCTTTTTTGAGAAAAAAAAAATGTACGGAGGGTACGGAAACACCTGCTGCTGATGAGACCGGTGGCAGACCGATGCGATGGTTCGATTTGCCTTTCGCGTTCCGACATTGCGAGTTCGTTGTTCCCTCGATGGGAACCGTTAGCCTCACGGGACCTGTGCGTTTACAACGCCGCGACCACCTCCGACACGTGTCAAAACAATTCAGAAAACTGAAAGATCGAACGGAATAGCGCGAGGTTCCCTTCCGAAACTCTGCACCGCTTCTCATCGTCCGCTATGTACAATTTCAATCGTCCACAGCAATCGTAGTTCGTTAAAAATTCAGATCGAATCGTCGATCCAAGGAAAGAATGCTCGGGTATAGATGTATGTTTTTTATTTCAGCCGCATCGCGTCGCATTTAACCGAACAAGGAATTCCAGCTCGAGGCGTAGCTCTCACATTTAAAATGCCACCGTTCCGGCCCGCCCCTCACTTTTCATCCTTGTTTGCAACGCCGGGATAGATACACATACTTCGTACAGTCTCCGCGCAATGCAGTTCGGAAACTAAAAGTTACATTTTTCCACCTCGCAGTCCGGCGCGACTGGTTTCCGGAAATTTTTTTACGACAGATCCGTACTTGGGACTCGGTCGAGCTAAACATTTCGGAGACTGAATAAAAACACGAGCTCCAAAACTGAATAAGAATATCGGTGTAGCGCGAAAAGATCGAAAAATCCAATCTTATTTCGTGATAACACGCTTGGCGTGAAATTTTACCGTCAAATTTTCTCTCGTGAATTATTTATACGCATCGAAACGTTCTTTCGCTAACTCCTGTCAGATTTTAACTTTATTAACGATTTATTGAACTTTTCGCGGTATTCGTATTTAGTTTTTAGAATACAGAGTATAGAAGTGTACTCTGAATATTCAATGGAACGTTAAAGAATATCTATTTCGCAAAATATTCCTTTAACGAGTCATTGGTCGTTAGAAGATCGTTGACCAACGAAACGTGATGTATGAAACGAAATAATGATTGCACAGCGTGTAGCAAGTAGGATAAAATACCGTATGGTCAAAGGCACGCACGATGACCGACTATTTTAACCTTCCCCCCCCCCTCTCTCTCTCTCTCCCTCTCTCTCCCCTCGGACCCCGACCCCACTATATTCCCTCTTCTTTTTCTTCTCTTCGTTTTACCTTGCCATCTAATTATTCCATCCAGTTTCGCGTTCGATCTATTCTTCGTTGAAAATTTTGTCGTTTGCGAATCTTTGTGAAACATTTTTCGATCGCTTCGTGGGTGACAAGGTTCCACTAGCGAGCAATCGATTCTCCCACCATCAGGTTCCTCGTTAGAGTTAGCTGCCCAGCCAGCGTACTTTGGACCCAACTCTTCCGAGTAGTCATAGTGGGAGCAGTTAGAAAAGTAGGGGAACGAGTCCCACGACTGTCTCGCGTCTGTTCGACACCCCCAATTTATACTATTATAATTCCAACTCGTCTTCGGTTTCGACGAATAGAGAGAAGCAGAGGAAGTTGAGAAAAATTGTAAACAAAGTAAATGGGCGCGTAAAAGTAAAGGAACGAGTCTTTTGTCGCCCGCGACGAAGGTAGACCGCTTAAAAAAGAATTTAACGAGCGCGCTCGTATCGCCGTGATACGAAACGGACCGGATTCCTTTTTGGGCCAGTGTTTATACATATGCATGCGGCGGACGGAAAAGTAGACCGTCGCCTACTTACACGGAAAATCGTTACACGGTGGCTCCGGACGGCCTACAGCGTCAGCAGGTGGATCCTTTGGACGAACGAACACTGGCGCATGGCGACGCGGCCTGCGAACCGGTCGCACCGTTACGGTTTCTCATTCATGCGCGATAAAAGTCACGGCCGTCTCGACTTTCGATAAAGGCCGGCCAGAGACCGGGATTCCTGCACCTACGTGCGACCAAAACGTGCACCTTTCAAAATTCCAAGCACAGGAAACCGATAATAACTTCCTCGTTACACCGTTTAAATCTCATGATAATTCAGCGTCAACGAAAATCGTAAATGCATACATTTAAATTACAAAACCTTCCACGATTCACGATCTATATAAATACGATTTTTTTTTCTTTTACTTTGTAGGTGTCGATATCACCGAAATACCAGGCGTGCAACCGCTTCGCACCGATGCAAGAAACGAAACGATCGACCGGAAGTCCGAGTATCCGACCAAACAGCAGGATTCCAAGACCACCGTCGAGCTTAAAAAGAAACCGGTCGACTTCAAGATCAAAACCGATCAAAAGTACCAGAAGCCCTTGAAGGACGATGACGCGAAACGCGGGGACGATGTCGCGACGACGACGACCTGGATGACGTCGACGGATTCGAACGACGATACCACCGTGAAATCAGTGGAAACTATGGGCGTTACGGTTCCTTTTTTATTTCACGGGGAGCCTATTCTAACCGCGACGAACGCTTCGCCGTCGAACGAATCGTCGTCGATGACCGGCAATTTCGCGTCAGCGATGACAAACGCCAACGGTACGAACGAACCGCGCATCGCAGAGGAAACGATGCCCTTTAGAGGCAGAGCGCTGAACATCTCGGCACCAGAGCCAACCAACTCCTTGCACTCCAACATCACCGATCTCAGCGACGTTAGCATGGACGACGACGACAAAGAAATCGAAGGTGACAACAGTTTTCCCAGCTAAGTTTCCATTTAAAGTTCAACGATCTCTGTCCACGGATTAAGGTCGTGAAATTTGATTTGTTGCAGGCGGAGAATACGTGGCACCTCGTAACGAGACTGGCATAAATGTCTCTTCGACGTTGCTGCCAACGGTGCCGGCGGTCTGCGTCGAGGGAAATCGTACGTATTCCGTGGGCGAGAAGATCGTCAGGGGTTGCGAGGAGAAATGCGTATGCGGCGAGGGTGGCGTGGCAACGGACTGTAAATCGGTCTGTTCTTCCCCGTACGTCAAAGCCAACAGAGCCATCGAGGATCCACTGTGCCAGGAGAAGCTGGTCACCGAGGAGCCTTGTTGCGCGATTCTGGTCTGCGCCGCCGACTCCGGTGAGCTTTCATTTTCTCAAATCTCCAATGTCACTGTTTCTAAAAGACTTTTGCTCCCCTCTGGTCATTCAGTACCCGAACCGGAGGAGACCTGCGTGTTCGCGAACAAAACGATCATGAGGGGTCAACGAGTCGAGGACGGCTGCTCCAGAATCTGCGTCTGCGAACCAGCTGGCAACCTGAACTGTCAACCTAGATGTCCACCGAACGAAACTACTTCGGCGACTAATCAACACGATCGTTGCGTTGTTCTCACCGATCCAAGGTACTAGACTCGATCGAAGATCTCTCCCTCTATTCTATTCGGACTCGTTTAACGACAATTATTCGCTTCAGAGATTCTTGTTGCACCATCATTCTCTGCGACGTTACTCTGGGCGATCACGAGATTCGACCGGAGACGTCGACCGACCTGGCCGTCAATCTCACCGACGCAAAGGTTCTAAATTCGACGGCCATAAAGTTGAAGCTGTCGACGAAGAACCCGCAGGACGTCACCGTGGAAATATCCGACAAGAATCATGTATGGAGGCAGCAAAGACCCGACAAAGGTCAGAACGGAGAACCAACACTATTTACCCCGATCGAGGAATAGCCACGTACGAAGGAAATATAAAAAAAATGCTTCGTTTCAGAGGGTATCGTATCGAATTTAGAACCTGCGCGCACCTATTACGTACGTGTTACCGAAGGAAATAGAATAGGGCCCGCGCTGCAGGTCTTTCTTCCCGCAGAAGTGATCAAGACGAACGTCTCGGACAAGACGACGGACAAGAGCCCTTGCAGCTACAGAGGAAAGACGTACAAGGTGGGAGCGGAATGGTACGACGAGTGCATCTCGTTCTGCGTGTGTACCGACGGCGGGAAAACCGAGTGCGTTACGATCGAGTGCCCCACAGACTTTGGACTCGACGTTTTGGATCCTCACTGCTTAGATTGGGAAACTGTACCGCCGACCTTTGTTCGGAAACCGCCTCGTTGCTGCCCTCAGGTAAAACTAGCCTTCGAAAACGAATGATCTACACACGCTGAGTGTCTCGCAGTACTCTCGAGTATCTTCATAAAAGCTCTCTGAAGCTCTCTGAAGCGTAATAAGTTTCTTTTTTCACTTTCATCGATATATCGATCCTAGTATTCGATACTCGGGTACAACGGAGTAACAGATTGGTAGAACGTTGTTTCTGGCCATAACTGAAACGATCATGATCGCGCCCGCAGGAAGTACGGTGCAGAAATAATGGTTCGTGCAATTACGAGGGAAAGACGTACGACAACTGGAGCGAGTTGCCGTCAAACGTGACCGGATGCGAGAAACGATGTTACTGCGAGATGGGAAACGTGTCCTGCCAGGCTGCCTGTCCACCGGTTCCAGCTTTACCGCCGCCAACTTTGCCTTGTCCTTCTTATCAATCCACGCTTACGCATTTGCCTGGTGACGATTGTTGCATGAGATGGAGTTGCAGCCAGATGCCAGGTAAATCTGCGCTTCCGTGGAACAAATTGCTGTTTGTTTCGAGAAAGATCGTTTAAATCCCTCGAAGTAAAAACAATGCGTTTCCTGATCTTTCTTCACGAAGAGGAAATATATAGGGTGTGTGTTCCAATTAAAAACCATTTGCATCTCGATCTCGATCGAATAATCGATCGATGATGGGAGTTTAGATCGAATGGTACGTTTAAAAGTGAGAAATTAGTTGCAAACGTACTCTCAACACCCTCTATATCTCTGTCATGGCCGCTGTAGGTATCTCCATGGACGAGGTATACGAGTAGACTTCACACAAAATTAAAAAATTTCAAATCGTTCTGAAAAAATTATTGTCGGTTGCGGGGGTCAATTGTAATCATTTTTGGTGAATACATATACCCCCGAAATCCTACGCATTTTGGAGAAAAAAATTCGAGTAGAAGGAAAAATTTTTCGCCGAAAAAAAATTTTTAGAAATCGTTCTGGAAAAATTATTTTCGGCTGTGGGGATCAATTACACTCATTTTTGGTCATTACACATACCCCCGAAATCCTACTCAGTTTCGAGAAAAAAATTCCTTAAAAAATATGTCTGACCATCCGTTGATATGTTTCACTGAAATTTCATGCGTATGTTTAAAACAACGTAACTTCCGAACGGATTGGAGGAATTTAATGTTTCAAAGTGCGAACTATGCGTATTTTGGTGAGGAATATTTCCAAATTCCAGGAAAGTTGGAAAATTGACCAAAAAAGTACATTTTATGCAAGGTTTACTCGTATACTGTGGTCTGTCGTAACTCGACCGAAACGTAGAGTGTTGTTTAATCGGTAGTTGGATTGTTTACGTTTGATCTTCTGGTGGCGGTGGCTCTGCTGAACAGTGGCTCTGTTGGACGATTATTCGTTAGATTGGCAATGGATGAAAAGGGTGACGGTTTCTACGACGCGAACCTGACTGGAACGATAACTCCAGTGCGAATGCGAAATGTACATTATTACATCCATAGAGCCAAAGTGGCTGTATCCTCCGTGGTTTTGCACTCTGTATCGGTACACCGATCCGTATATCTCTTCTCCCATCGCGTCGTTCGAGACACTATCGTCGTTGGATAAAAAGGACCCGTGTACTTACTGCTGTACATTTTCTTTCTATTCTATACGTGTGTAAAGTGACCGTTGCCAGTTACGTGAAAGAATTTCCTAGAGTTTTCAGCGGTTCGAGCAGAAAGAAACCTGGTGCTGTAAGATGCATGCTTTGTGCGGCAACGCTTGTTGTACATACATACTTGGATCTCAGGCTGTAAATACATATATGTATATGCATGGAGGATTTGGACAGCGCATCGACCGCACCGCAGATTACATTACGTGGGCTGTTCGACGAGCACGGCTCTCAGTGACATTGGACCTTTGCTTATTGCAGGAACGTCCGCGACGTCCGCGACGCCCGCGACGCCCGCGTACCCCGGCCCGTTGGCCACCGACACGTTCGATCGACGACCGACTAACGAGTCGGATACGACCGGGCCCAGCCAGGAACCGGAACGTGCCACTTCCTCGTTGCAGGAACATCCGAAAGACGTTAACGCGCCCACCGATACAGGACTGTTTCATTACCCCATGGACCCTGGACATCCCACGATACCGTACAACGGGCCCTACAGTCCCGAGTACAAACCCACTCATCCCAGCGTCGAAGACGTGTTTCACTTAGTCCCGCACGCTCCTGAAAAGCATCCGGCGACCATGAAAGAAAAGGCCAAGTCGAAATCGGACGCGAAGAAACCGATCGAGCATATCGTTAAACCGCACAAAGACGATTATTATTTCCCCGGGCCGCTGGCCCCGGACAAATTCGTGGACAAGACCGCCACGATGCCCGTACACGAGAACGACAATCCCGTAAACGTGAACAATTTACCGCCGAAATTTGTACCGTTCGATCATCCGGCGGGTTTCGCGTTCGCGGTCAGCAACGACGGTCAGAACGTGCCTCAGAGCGGTCTGGACGAGTCCGCCGCGGCTGGTCCACCTTACCGCGGCCCCATACTCGACAAAGACACGCTCGACCCTAACGTGATCGTTCCCGCGAATCCCAAAAAGAAAACGTCACCGAGCGACGCGTTTCACGGCGAGAAGGGTAAAACGCCGACGGGATTGCCCACTCGGACTAAGCAAACCCACCGCGATCCCGAGCAAGAGATTCTTCCCGGTGAGCTTTATCATCTGATAAATCTGCAACACCCAGGTCTGGTTCGGTTGGACCACCAGCCGGCCGAAGGTCATCCCGGTTTGTACGATATCCATCAAGAAATCACGGGTCAGAAACAATCGACGAACAACCAGATACAGCCGGGCTATTTCGGCGAGTCGGTCGACACCGGTGCCCCCGACTCGAAGAAACCCTCCAAGCCGCACATTTACGCGCAAAAGAACGAAAACGGTCAGACGACGTATCACGTTCACACCCCAGACATACCGAACACGCCCCAGCAGATCGAGGAGTTGTTAGCTCATATCAGTCAACACGACCCAAATCCTGGACCGTTCCAACACTATCCCGGACAGCCAGCCATACCTCATAACGCGCCGCCGAGTGGCTCGCAGCCCACTCTGCCGCTTCACATTGACGCTCATATACCGCATTCAGGACTCACGCACTTCAACTACCCGTTCGCAGCGCAAACGCCCAACCAGTCAGGTTCGTCCCTGATCAGCAAAAACACTTTTATTTCGAACATCTATAAATACGTTGGACGAGCAAAATTATCATTTTCCTCTTTCGCTATTAACCCGTCTGTCGTATAATTGTTCTTTTAAGAAAGAAACCGTCGTGTCGCCGCAAAGATACATTTCATACAAGAACATTTCTCTCCAACGACTATTCAACCAGTCACGAACAAATTGTGCCAGCGGTTTAACGTTCGAAACAATTTCACGACGGTGTAACGAAACTAGCCCGTTTTCCTCAACTTTAGGCCTGGATCATAACGCGTCGCCGAGTTTCCCGTTTCCTGGGGCCATGTCCGGATTCCCGATCGCTTCTTCCCCGGACGAGGTCACCGTGCAGATCCTCGAAGCCCTCGACGAAAACACCGTTCGTCTGGTCTTCACCGTGCCGCAAGTTTTAGTGGGGCTTCATGGACGCGTCGAGCTGCGATACACCAACGACAAAACGTACCTTATACCGCTTAATTCTTTATACATACACGCGTCGTCGATCTGCGGAAATAGAAACTGATTCCAATACCCGTTAACGTACAGAAACTTGGACGTGTCCACCTGGAAAGCTCAAGTATTCGCCCCGCCGAACGATCTGATCGCGACCCCCCAATTAGAGTTCGAATTGACCGATCTGAAGCCCTCGACCGAGTACAAGGTGAAGATCACCGTCAAGCTGAAGGACCTGGCCAATAGTCCGGCGAGCAAGATCTATAGCGTTCGGACTCTGGAGAAACGGGCCGAGGTGACCACGTTACCGCCTCGGATACCGATCGACGCCGAGCTCCGTGCTACAGAGACGAACTCCAGCTGGATCAACGTCGTGTGGAAAAAGTTCACGGAGTACGAGCTGCAATTCATCGACGGCGTTCAGTTGAAGTATAAGGAGCAAGACGGCAAGGTTTATTCCGGCACGCCGTTGATCCACAGGGCGGTCAGGAATTACGTTATCGAGAACCTCGAGTCGTCGACCACTTACGAGGTCGGGATTTCCTTCGTCCCGTTTCCGGGACAGTTGACGGAACTGATCAGCGAAAAGACGGTGAGTACACTTGAACGCACGATCGAGATTCGCTTGCCAGAAATAACTCTTTCCTGCATTTTCCTCTTATCGAAGATCCGTGTGACCACCTCGATGGAACCAGACCCATACTCGTTCCACGTTCACGTGGAAATCAAGACGATCAAGTCGACGGAGGTGGAAGTGACGTGGACCGGGGTGCCTTATCCAGAAGACAAATACGTAAACATTTACAGAGCAATTTATCAGAGCGACAGCGGCAAGGAGGATACGAGCACGTTCAAAATCGCCAAAAGGGACTCGAACGCGCGAACGGTGATCAACGATCTCAAACCAGGCACCAGGTATCGTCTGTGGCTCGAGGTTTACTTGACCAACGGCAGGATAAAGAAAAGCAACGTGCAGGATTTCGTTACCAAACCGGGAATCCTTCTACCAGCCACGGTTTCTCAGCAAGGTGTGCCAACTTACCGTCAAATATTCAACAACAAAGATAAGAACGTCCCGATTCGGAATTTAAAAAATATCTTATAACTTGTTTTTTTTCAGCAGGAAAGCTTGCGTCCCTGCCCCTTCACGACGGTGATTACTATGGTCCGCTGGTGGTGGTGGCCATCGTCGCATCCCTCGCGATCCTATCGACCCTGATTCTCTTGATGATGTTGATGAAAAGGCGGACCAGCAGTAAGGCCGACATTTCCCCCCGTAAAACCACGTCGGCATACGACAATCCTTCCTACAAGGTAGAATTACAACAAGAGACTATGGGTAATTTATTCTCATTGTTTTAATGTAATAGACCGTCTGCTGCTCCAATTGTCGCGACCATGCAAATTTCTCATCCACGTCCGCGATACGATTTCTGTTCAACTTTTTAGACCTCTGAGGATGCCGTGACAATATCGAACGGTAGAAACAAGAACACGGATCACGAGATGGCTACCATCAACACCAATGCCAAGGAGACCGCCTGAAACGTTCTGTAATTTATTGAAATATATTTATTTATGTGGGACCGTCGCGCCGCCATCGCCGTCGACGTTTACCTGTGTGTGTACTCTTTCGATACAAGAAAGAGACGGACTTGCAACGCTAATTTTTAAATGCCAAAAAGTGCCTTAGCTCTCGCTAAAACGTACGGACAATTTACAAACGACCTCCTAGCAAGGAATTATAATTTCTTCCTCATACCGCGGACGGTTTAACAATTTTCGATTTCAGTCAGTGGAATTGCATTGTATTAATAAACTTGTAAATAGTGCTGACGTGTAACGTTAAGTCGAATCAGAATCAATTGACTGCTCAAACCCTACGAACAAATTATCCCTATTATATCGTTAGTTGCCTAATCTCTCGCCTCTTCGCGCAATCTGCAAAGAACAGAGTGGCCAATCGAGTTTGATTCAACTTACGATTATCGCGTTAGATGATTAAGCAACGACTTATCCAATCTCTCGTTTTACGACACCGCTCGAGACACGTCGCTATAATGTTTCTTTATACATACGTTATAAATTGACACGTCAATTTTCTGTATTTAATGTCAACGATTAAGTTGTTGCAAGCAAGTAATCCCGCTGGAGCTGGACGACTCGTCTGCACTTTGTACAGTTAAAATTTAGATCTTTAGAAATCAATAACATGTATTGTGTCGTATTCAAAATGTTTTAGCTTGAATTGGTCGAGACTAATTTTAAAAATAACGAAAAATGTTTATTCGTATTGGATCTGGCTGATACATAATAGACTGAGGAAAGGTGTACATAGTAAAAATATGATAAAATATCAGGAATAGAGGACAAAAACTTATTCTGTATCGAACTCGCGTGGAACTGATTTCAACGCCACGCCAGTTAACACAAAATATAAAAAATAAAATAGTAAAGTAGTTCAAAATTTGTTCTTGTAGAAGACATAGAAACATTATCATAATAACATAAGCATTATAAGAGTATCGCCGAAATAGACTGTGCTCGAGCATGCAAAAATATACCTAACAATTTAAAAATATTTCTCCAATTCTGATTCCATTTGTAGCGGAGAAGTCTGTGGAGCGTATCTAAACACAACTTTTCCCTCTTTGTTGATAATGAATTTGGTGAAATTCCATTTGACCGTGTCCGTCACGAATCCAGCTGCCTGGGTTTTTAGCCATTTCCACAATGGATGGGCATTGTCTCCATTAACGTCGACCTTTTCATAAACATCGAAAGTAACATTATATATCTTGATAAAGTCCAGAATTTGTTCCGAAGTGCCTGGCTCCTGACTGGCAAACTGATTCGACGGAAATGCAAGGATCCTTAAACCTTCATTTTCGCTATACTTTTCGTATAAATGTACCAACTCCTTGTAATTTCTGTCTGTCAGTCCGCAATTACTGGCAACATTTACAATTATGCAGACATGCCCGCGATATTTATTCAGCGGTACATCGTTGCCATGGATATCTCGAGCATGGAAATCATAGATCGTAGTAGCCAAATTCCAATTTTCATCCTGGTTAAAAGGAACCGGAGTTGTAGCAGGGCATTGTTCTTCCTTGTTGTCTTTGCAACTTTGTGCAATAACTCCAGACAAGATCAGAACCATCAAAACTAACGATTCTACAAAAAATAATCATAATCAACAAATAAGCAATGTGAAATATAGTTTTTTCTTCTTCGTTCAAATTTTTACGGTCGCTGTTTCGAAGATAAAGCCGGTTTCGTGACAATGGCCAGAAAAAAAAAAAAAAGTAAAAAAAAAACGATCTCAAAACATGTCGCGTCCGACCTTGACTGAATGCACGAATCATAAAATCAACGTTAAACGATTAATTTTCAGTAATATCGTTTTTTAATGAAAATTTGAAAACTTTTCTACGCGTTATTACGATTATTACTCACTACGCATTTTGCGTCGAAGAACGTGTCGTCGAACTGGAACAATTTATCAGAGCCGAAACGCTAACGTGATCTATATAAAACTGATCAACTGTGACTGATCAATTTTTATATCAGCGTATCGTAACGAAATGATGTACTACTATTGCTAAATATCTTCGGTACTGTCCGCTGGAATGAAATCTCCCGCACACTTTGACTTGCCGAACGCAACTGCGTTCATCTTCCTTTGTCCAGAATTTTTAATAAATCCCAAACACGTTGGCCTCTGTCCAGCGGTGTCCTTGAATCTGTGACATCACGGAGTTTCGAATGTCGAAACATATTTATTATGTTCATACAATTATATTATCTATTAATGATTTTAAGTGCCACTTATTATGACAAAATTTTCAATCGATAATTATTCAAGTAGCATTTCTGTTCATGATATAGTACTCATGTACATAGAACCCATTCTGTAAATCAATGCTTGCATCTTAAGTAATCTTAACACGTTTCAGTATCCATACCCGCTTTAGATTTCCAATTAATGAAATAACACTGAAAATGTTACGTTTTACCAATTAATCGATCCAAGAACTTTATACCAGTAACAGATTCAATGACCCATCTGTACATAAAATGTGACTAATGTCGAGATTTTATATTTAATATAATATAGAGTTTCTGCATTGCAATTATTTCGATAATATTTCGTTCCGACTTTGTATTATTTACATAAAGTTATGCATATAAAGTTCAATCGGTTATTTTCTCCATTTTTCACATAACCTAGGCCGACACACACGTAAATATAACCTTAAAAACGCAGACCTCAAGAATAAAATGAAATAAAATCATACAGTTATAATGCATAACGCAAAAATATTTAATAATCAAATGTTAAGGACGATTTATTTCGAAAAAATTGTCTTTTAAGTTTTATATGATTTTATAAAAATTATAAAGCAGCATTAAATTGTTATTAAACGTTATTGTCGCAATTAAATAAAAAATGGTAAGTACAATAAACTGTGTTAAATATTATATTAAAAACATTGTATCTTTTTGACGTAATTCATTGCTAATTTTTACTCTGTTATTTTAGGCGCGAAACGCAGAAAAGGCTATGTAAGTGTCTATAAGTTGGAAATTGTCTCATTTTTCTATGTTCAAACGTGTTCTTTCAAATTTATTTTCTTGATTGTTTTACAGGACTACGCTTGCTCGATGGCGAGCGGCGCAAAGCAACGAAGGTGCCAGAAAAGAACAAGAAAGGAGACCGTACCTAGCTTCCGAATGTAGAGACCTGCGAAAGGCAGAGAAATGGAGAATGCAAATAATTAGAGAAATTGCAAAGAAAGTGGCGCAGATACAGAACGCAGGCCTTGGAGAGTTTCGTATTCGGGACTTGAACGATGAAATAAATAAATTACTGAGAGAGAAACGACATTGGGAGGCTCAAATAAAAGAACTGGGTGGTCCCGATTATTCTAGAGTGGGGCCACGTATGCTAGATCACGAAGGTCGTGAGGTATAGTGTATATCAGATTATAAATGTCCTAAATCCTATTGTTATATGTACTAAAGTTTAAGTTTATAATGTAATTAAATATTCAGGTACCTGGAAATCGTGGCTACAAATATTTTGGAGCAGCGAAAGAATTGCCAGGAGTTAGAGAGCTGTTCGAGCAAGAACCACCTCCTCCTCCTCGTAAAACACGCGCAGAATTAATGAAAGACATTGATGCGGATTACTACGGTTACAGAGACGACGACGACGGGATTCTGTTACCGTTGGAACAGAAAGCGGAACAAGAAGCAAGAGATAGATCAGTAAAAGAATGGCTGGCAGAGCACGAGAAGAAGGAGCTCGAAGAGATCGAAGAAGAAGTTGAAACAACGGCGCAAAAAGCGATACCGTCGCAACAAGATATTCAGGAAGCATTGCTTGCAAGAAAAAAGCAAGAACTGTTAGAGAAGTATGTACTTTGACAGGTTTTATTTTGTATTCTTACGCATTAAATAACAACTATTTGTAAGTTTATTCGTTTAATTGTATTAGAGTACATTTTTATAAAACGCGACAGATATAATAATAATTATTATTAATATGTAAGTAATAACATTGATTACGTTAATTATTTTGTGCAGTAGACGTTCAAACTTCAATTTAATACTTATCGAGAAAGAGTGCTGTAGATAAAATATATAGATCAAAATTTAACGGTAGTCTGTTTATAAATCTCGCGATCCTTATTATTTGTTTTGTACGTTGCACTCGATTGTTGCAATCTAAGCACCCAATACTCGAGAAAGGGGACACAATAGAATAAAACACCAAGAAAGACGACAAATTACGGTTAGTGTTGTAAAAATTGTTCTTCGCAGCATACATTCATACTTTGCCGAAGGAGTATTTAAAAAATAATAATTTAATCGTTTGTCTTCCTTCTTGCTATCGCGTTGGAGCAAAATCAACTGGCTACACGAGACAACCAAAGAATTGTATCTATCCCAATACTTGGCTACCTCCTTCCGCACTACTCGTCGAGCAAATTTTCATTTTCGAATAACGAATAAAAGTATTCGGTTCGTTCGTAAACCAGCTTCAACCCGAGGCTTTGATTAAACAAATTTGTTAACAAACTCTAGTTTACGAGAGTAATACATAGGTAAACTAATTTACGAACGAGTCTAAAATTTGTATTCGTTGTCTGGAAGCAGAATTTGCCCGAGTGTCTTCCATACTAAGCCAGTCATTTTGTTCTTTGAAGATATTCTGATGGGATTACCACTATTATTGTAAGAAACTGGGAACAGTCAAAGGCATAGGAATTACCCTGAAAAAGCCCTATACGTTAATTAAGTAGACGTATCCGGTCCGAAAATACTTTGAAAATTGTTTCGTTTCCGTTCGTAACCGCTCGCCAACGAGACGAGAACTATGCGCACGTACATACGTGTACATACGTGTACATACATACAGTCCGTTCGCGTGTAATAAATATCTTCCTTTGATCGTCGATTCAACATCGTGTTGTTTATAAACAGACTGTACAATATACAATTACGTTATCAGGACTCAGAATTGAAAATTATCCTAATTAAACGCTAGCTAAACTCGCGGCTACGCTTACGATTTATCAAAGTAGAGTGAAATTACTCGATCGCGCGTATCTCGTCCATACGTCTGCCGTATTCGCGTGTTTCCAAGCGGGAAATGTCTTCAGCGACGATATGCTACAGTCGAAAGCGCTAAAGGCGTCTCTTTAAAAGAACAGGCTGCACGTGATCGCGAGAAAAATTCCACGCATACCAAAAGGAACATCTTCCGAGTCCCTGGAAAAAATCACGTTGCACCGTGACACGGTTTAACGCGAGAGAATAGTTCGAGCATGGATTAATCATCGTTAATTACCTAAAATGCTAAAGCTTGAAAAAGTCAAGCGTTGAACGATTCACAGCATCTGTTTTGTTCGCTAATCAGTCGCCTAATTTCGGCCGGTTGAATCAAAATCTCTAATATACATATAAACGTATGGATAATCTACGTTTACCGTAGTCACGCGATACCGTGTACGTCTCTAGTTTTAGTTAAGTAATATCAACTCTAGAATCACATCTGCGTTTACGAGGGGTGTGCTTTGCGAGTTTTATTGTGCGTCATTGAATCGTGAATGTTCGCCCTCGTACTTCCACGGTTCCCTGTCCCAACCATCTGTTCGAATTAACCGTTCGATCCCCTAGTCAGGTTGCCTATACATATCGTGGAAACACGAAATATATGTAATAGGAATAAAGTGTGTCGATGGGAGTTTCAGCGATACAGCTAATCGTCTAACAAAAATCTAAAGCTTTGCCTTTAACTTGCGAGAGACCTTTGCGCGCTTCCTGTCACTGTCGCAACACGTTCACAGTCCGCGTTTAAATCGCATCCTATCGCTCGAACGTAACAAGAGGAGATACATATTTTCATGGTAATCAATGTTTCCAGCTACTCCCTTGAACATTTCCACCATCGTCCGTCATCGTCCCTGAAACACAACTGTTTCTTTAGTTAGTCGATTAATAACGGTTCAAATTTCGGATCAACGTATACGGGCGATACTTGCACTCGACCAATTCCAAAGTAAAAACCGTTTCACGTATGCAGATCGTTAAGACTTTGAACGTGTTAACGGCATCGAAGAGAGAACAGAGAGAACGTACCAAGTGAAACGAAAAAGAGACTACAAGAATTTCACAGCCTCGCGTACTTTGTTATTCTCGGATCCGAGAAAAGTGCACCGATCCAAGGATCGCCCTAGGCCCTGCAGCAAGGGGGACCGATCCCGTAGATCGCGCGTGACAATCCATTCTCGAACCACACGCGTTGATTCGCGGACTCGTCGTTTCGGCTCGTGACAAGCATTATGCATGCGTAGGCATGTCCGTTGAAAATGTGGCGAAATCGCGAGAGCGAAAGAAAAATAGGGTATTGTGTATTTCGCTCGGCTAGCCCGTCCAAAGAAGAACTAGAGGATCGCGCGTGTTTTCGTATACGGGGCCCTCGACTCGGCTGGGTATCCCACGACGATTCTCCGTCGACGGACACGCGGCCTAAAAATGGTGAAAGGCACAAAGTAAAAAATAAACGATCATGGTTGTCGGCTCAGGCACATATCGAGTTTAAAAAATTTCATGCCACGGTTACGCGGTCCGTTTACTTGTGCGCGGTTAATTTAAGATCGATAAAATTGCATGTACGCAAGTCGTTTCGTTTATCTCGATCACCTTAATATCTCGTTGATTTCTTTCGATGATTATAATAGAAATATCTTAAGGAAGAAGTTTGTTTGTTTGTTGTCCGAATCGACTCGCTGAACGAAACGATTCTTTAAGGTTTGCTTTATCGCCGATATTTATCCCTTCTGATCTTGGCCGATCCAGGCAGACGAAACACCTTGCGTACACGCGCGTGTGTGTACATGAACGTGTAAAAGTGTGCGATTTATGTGTACGCGTGTCTCATGTTCGCGTTCTTTTTCAGTTTCTTGATGCATATGTGATATACATACGTAATATGTATGTTGAAAACACCCACAACTCCGTCCGGCGTATCAAAAAGGAATGTACTTGGTACATCGATAGAGTTTCGTAACTCAGAGTTACCCACGTACGTAAAGAATGAAGACAGCTCCGATTGACTTCAGGTGATCTTATTCGGGCAGTAGACAGCGCATCCAATACGAACGGCAGCCGTTTGTTTCGTTAAAAGTGTTCTTCGCCTTCTGTTTTTTTTCTTTTTTTTTTTTTTTTTTTTTTTATGGCTTCCTATTAAACGATCAGTCGTGCCAAGACGCGCCAACGAGCGCGCGTTACCCACAGCGTGTTTGATGTTTCTTTATCGATCAAACTGTATCGTTTATCGTTAATGTAAAATATTTTTCTCCGTAACAGGCACTCTTTCATAGTCGGGCATCTCAAGGACGCAGCAGCGAATGCCAGCGTTGAATTTGCGTTGGCTGCCTTGCCGCGCGCATGTCGTTCCAGTGCTGAAGTTCCTCCGAGCTGTTCAGTCCCAGACTGAGCCAGCCGATCATTTCTCTGCCTTTCCTCCCCATGCCTCCTCTTCGCCGATTGTAAACCGACAGGAAGAGCGTTACGTCCCCGAGTTGGAACAGAGCAACCTACGGGAATTGTTTCGGGTTCAACGAGAGTACGCTTACAACATTATCGAAAATGTGCGCCCGATATAGATGTAAGAAACGTGCCTGGAATATAAACGTTTCCTTGTAAAGAGGATTGGGCTGAGCACGTTTCAAACCAGTTTTCGATCGTCCCATTTCGTGACCGTTGCTGTCCACGAGTGCAAGCTTGACGTACGTGTCGGGCGGTTTCGTGTCGTTTCCGCCGCCACCCCGAAAATGAGACCCTTTGATTATTTCTACCGACAAACGTCCTGTTGTCCCGTTGTACGCCAAGCCTATTAGTATCTCTGCCACGCTTCCGCCCTTCATGCTGCTGCCGTATGGAGGCACGGTGGGCGATGCGTACGACTGAACGGATTGCTGAGATCCCGTGGAATCGCTACGCGTCAAGCTACTGGTTGTTCCCCATTCTTGCACCTTCAAGCACAAGACGGCGGATGAAATACATATGCAATGCGACAAGAATAAGGTAGGAATCGAAGCACGCGTATAGGGGGATTTACCGAGGACGATGGCGGTGGTTGTAGCGTTAACCACAGAGTCGTCTCGAGCTGAAGATTAATCTGATCGAAGGAGACTCTGGCTTCGCCGAGCAGTCTCTCACGGCGCATCCTTCCGCTCCACAGGTAGACTCTTAAACGTACACCCATCGCGTTCACATCCTCTGGGTTCACGCGGGGTAGAAGGTAACTTTCCATGTACTGCGGGGACGTACCCTGACGGACACGGGTCTTGCGTCGTTGCTTCTTCGACGGTAAAAGTACCAGACGTACCTGACTACCGCCTATACCCTCGGGATAATTTCGTCCTTGCAACACGTGTACCTACGAACAGATGTGGAATCTTAATCTTACGTTTAACCTTTGAATTTGGAATTTCCGTATCGTCGTTACCGTTACACGTTTACATACGTATAAGAGGTACGTACCGTCATCTCCCGCATCGGTGCATCGTACAAAAACGCAACCTCCAGGCTGCCCACTTCTTCGGCGACCGTGCCCATCGTCTCGATGATGTCGTTGCTCGTCGGCCCATTCTGATCGATCTCTTCTTCCTGTTCTCTGGCACCGAGTAGAATATTCGAAGCACCGACTTCCACTACGCACTGCGATCAATGGAAAACATTAGTCAGAATCGGATAAAACGATAATACGGCCTTGTCAAGGAAACATCGAATCGATACAGCGTCGCAATGTATAAATATAAAAAGTATAAAAGTTACGTTTATTTAATATACGTATAGCTTATCCACCGTTTAGATGCTGTTAGTTCACCTGTTGTTGATCGGCAGGAGAGTGTTCTTCCGTGCAACTGCTGGAAGTGGTTCCAGCATCTAAAACGATAAAAACAACGTATGTATAGGTAGTCAGGATGACGGGGTGAATCAACGATGCGAATTAGATTGAGATATATTTGGTACAACTGACCCACGATGGTCGGTCCATCTTCCGCTTGGATGGTCAGCGTATCAGGCGGCGGATGAGGACGTGGATTCAATCGACGTAGGGCGTCTTCTTCCGAGTCGGAACTGGTTTCTGGGTCCGAATAGGAAAATACCTTTCCTGTTGAATTCCATTTGGAAAATATACGTTTCGTTAGGAACATTCGTATACGAGAGCATCCCGCTGGAAACTTAAACACTTAACAGAAACGAAGAGTTTTGCTACACGTACAGAGAAGCAAAGAGAATTAATTACAATTATGAAGTATTCGATCCGGAACCAAGTCTTTTTATATGCTTTCAAGTGTCACTGATCTATGACAACGTGAAATATGGTACTATATTCGAAATAGAAAAGGTACCAATGTGATCTGATCTTGTTAATGAAGTTTTCTCTATGTTTCTGTTAATGTCGTCTACACGACGTGTGTGCGAAACTTAGGCGGTACAATCGGATCCATAAAAATATACATCGAGAATGCAGAGTGCAGAAAGTTGTCACCTATGTTCTTCGTAATTTGAGAAGTGGAACTGTTGTTAGATTCGCATAGGGGCACGCAAACTCCTCCGAAAAGTGTGGTCGTGGATGGTGGGGTGAAGCACCACTTGCGAGATAAATACAAAAAGAGAGCCAACAAGAGGACCACAAAGCCAGCAACGGCACCCAGAAATGCTGTCGCTTCCACAGGTACTGAAATCGATCGATTTTTCTCATTGTCTGTACGATGCATGCTGTTTTCTTTAAAGCGGTACAAAAAATTTGTTTAAAGACTTTGAAAAATAGTGTCGGAAAGATGAAAGTTTCGAGCTAAATAAAAAATGTAGCGATTATCTGGTTGGGTAAATTTCTACTGATTCTACTGTACATATACGTACATATGATAGAGGTTAAAAGATAGCCTTGTTGGGCAGAAATTGTTAAACGTCATTAATTATTAATTATTTATTGGCTATGAGGAGAAAAGGCGTTCACCCGTGCACCGTTTAAAATCCTTTTCTCTCTCACTCCCGACCGGCGATCGTACGCGTCGTTTGGCATATATCGAACGCGTTCAAACACTAGCGACACGTTACATCTAAATGACCTGGAATAATTAACCATCGTTGCTCCAGTTGCCACGCAAACTGCCGCTGCGATATTGCCCAGCAAAATATGCCGTTTAATGATTCGCGGTAACGAGATCACGTCGATTCGATTCCGCAAACTATTCTCGCGAGATTTGTCATTTCGCAGCAACGATGATTACAATATTTGCTAGCTTCGAATGGATAAACCCGAGGCGGTGCGCTTCGAAAAGTCCTCGGTTTGCGCAATGCGGACGCGTCGAATAACAACCCTTCGAGATATTCCCGATTATTCGAAACAAACGATCGTTCGAAACGTGTTTTCACGAATCGTGAGAAATAACGGTCGTATATTGGATTGGTCGTTTAGCCGAATCAGTTTTAAGGTAACTCCTATGAGGAAGAAACAGGGGCTGAGAAGGGAATCAACGAACGCGCGTTTCACCGTTCGTTTCTCTCGACTCGATCTCCTGGCCTGACTGGCCCCTCGACAGGCATCGAATCGTCGATTATTCGTATCAATGATCACGCCCTTCGTTACACTTCGTACACGTAAACTTTGCTAGAGAAGCTCCGCTAGCCGTGCGAAATGTAGTGGACTTACCCGCCAGAAAATGGTCTGATCCAGCCAGAATCATGCTCGTCCTTGTGTCGCATTAAACCCTTCCTCTTACGCTGTTCCGTCGATCGAACGCGGCGAGTCGTCCTCCTCCGCGAATAATGAACTCATTATTTGCTCGGTGCGAGCTTATCCGACAGAAGACTCGTGGGCCGTTCGCGATCTTCGTGTAAGCGTGGTTACAAACAGCCGAATAATAATACGTGGGCGGGGGTGTACACACAGCACTCTGTTGCTCGCGACGACGTGTGCGCCTGCAATACCCTGACCATCTGTACGCGTGCGCCTCGCGTCCGCGCGTATACGTCCCCGAGGGGGATTTACTTCGCCAGGGATTCTCATTCGAAACGCGTTGGTAAGTCTAACGCAAGAATTCCCAAATTATTTTTTACAATGATACATTTAATCACTGTGCGATCAATTAGAATATTTCTCTGCTCTTGTAACGCGACATGACGATCTATCGGAATTTAGCGGTGGAGTTGTAAAATCCGATTAGATTCGAAACATTATTTTCTCGACAGTAATATAATGTTGACAAAGATTTTTATGCACCGATCAAACAAATAAGGTTACATTAACATCAATAGCAAATGAAGAAACTGACGTCAAGTTTTTAAAGAACATTGGACATTATTGAAACAAATATACGCAAAATAAGTAAAACGAAACTAAATTGAAGGAAATATTTTCTAAAATTATTATTTTAACATCGGAACTGAAGCGTAGAGATATCGAAAAACGATGACGGCTTGTATCGTCGATAATCAATATTTTATAAACGTATCCTGGTTCTCTTGTTTAAAAAATATTAACGTATTCTACGGAATTACGTTCGTAATTTTCTCATACATTTCAAACTTCAAATAAATGGTGGTTGGTACGTTTTAATGCTAACCGAAAGTAGAACCGACAACTCTTTACTTCGCAGTGCTTGTTGCCGGTCGCCAATGAGATCAATCGGTTAACGAATAACTTATTTATCTTCTTGATGCAAACATACGCGCTTCCTGGGTACATTGTTCGATTTCTTTATAGATAAACGATATATTTTATGTTTGATTAATTGATACAAATTATAGAATTTAATATATGATCAGTTTTTCTAACACGTCCAATTTTTACATTTTTTTTTTTTTACTTATTTATTACACATAAGACTAGAAATGTTCAAATTGATCGGGTTAAGTTCCATGTGTTGTTTGTTATCGATTAACATAACCTGAAAAATGAAATATCTGACGGAACGTATCAATTGAACAATTTCAGTAATTATTAGATCAAATAGAATATATTCTAGGGAAAATAATATTATTCTACTAAAACTCATCTATTTTATATTGTAGGTACTATATACTTCTTACATTCGATATTAAAACATAATTGAACATGCAATTTTACATTTAATTATGCTTCTGATATTGTATAATGTATTATTCCAATAACAGGAACAAATGAGTATGAGCTATTTTACAATATTACGTTTTAAACAGTCGGTAACGTTAAATAGATGTTTGCTGAAGAAATGTTTAAGGCAGTATTTAATGTACAACGCAAGTTTATATTCCACCGGAACAAATAACCATCATAAAAATTATATTACTAAGAAAGAACGCGTCGCTAGGAGAAGGGCATTAAGATTGCAAATACTTCAAGATATTAAACAGACTAAACGGAAAGTAGAAGAAATTATAGAAAAGGAAAACATTTGGACGATACCAAACTTACTTTGTATGGCTAGAATTGTAACGTCGCCTTATTTAAGTTACATGATCTTGTCACAGGATTACCAGGTAAAACAATAGCGTTACATACGTATAATTAATATATATTAATTATATCAGTATTATTTGTTGATATTACAGGTAGCACTGTGGTTATTAATAATTGCAGGATTCAGTGATCTAGCCGATGGATGGATAGCACGTACTTGGACGTCCCAAGCATCTAAGCTTGGTAGTTTTCTAGACCCGGTTGCAGATAAATTACTAGTAGGTACGTTGTTCCTTTCGTTGGCCTGGGTAGGACTGGTTCCTATTCCTTTGGCATGTCTTGTCGTCGTAAGGGACGTTGCCTTAGTTTCTGCCGCTTCGTATATTAGATATCGATCTTTACCACCGCCGGTACGTACCACGTTAAAAAAATGTAAATCGGTTAAGTATTTAGCTAAATTAATTTTTCGCTATGACATTTCAGAAAACCCTTGCTAGGTACTTTGATCCTACGCATGCGACGGTACAATTAGCTCCAACATATATAAGTAAAATTAATACCGCTATTCAGTTGTCTTTTGTTGCTGGGACATTGGCTGCTCCTATATTTCATTTTGTAAATCATCCAATTTTAGAAGGTCTATGTTACGTTACAGCATTAACAACATTAGCAGGAGGTATTAGCTACCTGATATCAAAAAATACGTATAAATTTTTAAGTAAAAAAAACTCGACAAAATCGTCTCGCTAAGTGAATTTGTATATAATTAATAATATCAACAAAATAGAACATCGATGCTATGTTTAGATTTATTACTTGCTTTCTTTAATAAATGTTATTTAAATATGTACTGTATTTAACAATGAAACGAATAACAATATTTTTATTTGGTAATTGATCTACGTCGTTAGTTTTATTTGCTCATGTCGTACGTTTCGTACGCAAACTGTTCAAAGTGACACATATCGTAACATACACCGATATAGTCAATTTCTAAACTAAATGGCCCATTTTTTTTATCGCAAATAGTAATACCAAAATTCGTGACATCGGATCGCGCCAAAGAACTTTGAACGTCTTGTAATACACCTCTTCCACCCATCGCGAATTTAGAAAATGGTATTTTAACATACTGCCAATAAGGTCCACCTCTGGTATATAATACATAATGATGAGCCTTGTACCAGAATAAATCAATCGGTCCCTTTTGTAAAATATTCAACATATAACATCTACCGTCTCCTCTAACTTTTAAAACCAGACTATTGTACTTTGCCCAATCGAGTTTAATTTTTCGTTTAAAAGACTTCAATTTTCGTACTGTTGTTACGTTACAAAAACCAGCAATCATCGTTCTACCGTCTTTAGGTAATTCGGTACTTAATACACCATGGAATATTCCAGTGCCACGAGAGGACAATTCTAATCTAAACAGAGACTATATTTAACAATCTTAAATAATTTTGTTCAAGTTAAATTTACATGCCCATGACACTTACTTAGCGGTTGAATAACCATTATCGTAATCACTATCGCAGGTTAGAACCCATTCATTCCGCGATTTTAAAGTTCCATCGAATTTCCAAACGATATTCTCTGCGCTTGGTGAAATTATAATAGAGCGCATTCTATATTTATCCCGTATCTCTTTTCGAAATAACGATACCTCTTCCTTCATTCCACGATATCCATTTCGCATTTTTTCAAAGATACTTAAATTTTCCGGTTCTGGTGGTATGTCATATTTGTACGGATAATGTATTCCTTTTCTTTCGTACATATACGATATACAACTTTTGTGAAACCCTCTTTTATTACTTCTCTTCAAACATAGTCGTGATACAGAAATCATGATTGTCTTATAGGGCGATTAAACAAAAATATCATAAGATACCTACATACACGACGTGCAAACGCGCGAGTACATTAATTCTTGCTCATTCGTATTTTATATGGACTAACTCTCGTTCACTGTAAATGCAATTGAACGTATCAAAAATATGCATCGTGTAAATGAAGCCTACAACTATATGTATAGGTTATACAGTATAACCTAAAAATATCTCTGTATAAAGGTATTAGGGTAAATAGTACTAGGGCGATGTTGGTGACATTAGAAAATTTACGTGCTCGGGCGAATCGAAAGCAGCTCCCTGTCTATATGTTAAAGAAAGTGTGACCCACTGGTGGTACATGATTTGCACAGGCATGGAATAGTTCGTTACCTTCGACGCTAGATGGCGCTTATTTATCGACCCAGCCTCTCCTGGCTTCTGCTGGCCTCTGCTGACCTCTGCCAGCATGTGTGGGTCTCTGCCTGCCTCTGCTGGCCTTTGCTGGTCCCTGCTGACCGCTGCTGACCACACTCCTGATACTTCTGACAACGTATAACGATCACAACTTGCTACTGCTTGCCTCTGCTTGCCTCTGCTGGTCTACGCTGGACGCTGCTGGCCTCTGCTGGCTTCCGCTGGTCCCCGTTGGCCTCCGCTGGCCTCTGCTGACCACTGCTGATGCTTCCGACAACATATAACGATTACTACGGGCTACTGCCACCCTCTGACAGTCTCTACTGGCCTCTGCTGGCTTCTGCTGACCACCACTTATATTTCTGACAATGTATGACGAATCCTACTGACCTCTGCCTGCCCCGCTGGTCTCTGCTGATCGCTGCTGACCACCCCTTATGCTTCCGACAACGTATAACGATTACAACTTGCCACTGCTTGCCACTCCTTGCCACTGCTGGCCTCCGCAGGCCTCCGCTGGCCTCCGCTGTCCTCCGCTGGTCTCCGCTGACCACTGCTGACCACCACCGATGCTTCCGACAACGTGTGACGATTACTACATGTTACTGCTTGCCTCTGCAAGCCTCTACTGTCCCCTGCTGACCCCTGCTGACCACTGCTGACCCCTGCTGACCCCTGCTGACCACTGCTGACCACTGCTGACCACTGCTGAACCTTGTTAACAACTTCTGCCATGATATATATGTATTAAAACATTGTATAATGTAAATCTATGGCAATAAATGATATAATTACAAAGAATTCTATGTGTTCTCATCATTTTTTACCTTTCTTCTCCTCTCCAAATCATTACCTTAGTTATAAGACTCCCTGAAACTCCTTGGTTTCCCTGAACCCACTAGGAAGTCCTGGAACACCTCGGAAGTCCTGAAACTCAGAACTTTGCTAAAAATTCAGGTTTTCCAATAATTTTCGGCGTTTCCAAGAAATTCCAGGGCTTCCCAGTTGTTTCAGGGCTTTCCAGCTGTTTCAGGGCTTTCACGTCGTTTCAGGACTTTTTCGCTGTTTCAGGGCTTTCCAGCTGTTTCAGGGGGGTTTAGCTGTTTCAGGACTTTCCACATGTTTCAGGACTTTTTCGCTGTTTCAGGACTTTCCAGCTGTTTCAGGACTTTCCAGCTGTTTCAGGACTTTCCTTATGTTTCAGGACTTTTTCGCTGTTTCAGGACTTTTTCGTTGTTCCAGGATTTCCCAGCTGTTTCAGGAATTTCCAATTGTTTCAGGACTTTCCAGCTGTTTCAGGACTTCCCAGTTGTTTAAAAAAAAAATTTAATCGGGACCCCCCTCAAATCTTTTCGAGGACCTTGGAAATTTTTCGAGCGAATAAATAAATAACCGATGGCGGTTTTAGGTTCATTTTAGACTTTGTTATTAGGAGGACATGATATCGGAAGAGGTGGCACGTATCTTATAACTATGGGAATGCTTTGGAGAGGTAAAGGAAGGTAAAAATGACGAGAAGACATAGAATTCTTTGAAATTATAACATTTATTGCAATAGATTTACATTATACAAGGCTTTAATACATATACATCATATCAGAAGATGTCAACAATGGTCAGCAGTGGTCAGCAGTGGTCAGCCGGGGTCAGCAGGGACCAGTAGACGCATGTGGAGGCATGTAGAGGGATGTAGAGGCATGTAGAGACCAGCAGGAGCAAGCAGTAACACATAGTAATCGATACACGTTGTCGGAAGTATCAGGAATGGTCAGCAGCGGTCAGCAGGGGCCAGCAGAGGCCAGCAGAGGCCAGCAGAGGCCAGCAGAGGGATGTAGAGGCATCTAGATGCATGTAGAAGCATGTAGAGACCAGCAGGAGCAAGCAGGAACACGTAGTAATCGTTATACCTTGTCAGAAGTATCAGGAGTGGTCAGCAGCGGTCAGCAGAGGCCAGCAGAGGCCAGCAGAGGCCAGCAGAGGGATGTAGAGGCATGTAGAGAGCAGCAGGAGCAAACAGGAACACGTAGTAATCGTTATACCTTGTCAGAAGTATCAGGAGTGGTCAGCAGCGGGCAGCAGAGGCGAGCGGAGGCAGGCAGAGGCCAGCAGAGGCCAGCAGAGGCCAGCAGAGGAATGTAGAGGCATGTAGAGGCATGGAGAGACCAGCAGGAGCAACCAGTAACACATAGAAATCGTTATACGTTGTCGGAAGTATCAGGAGTGGTCAGCAGCGGTCAGCAGGGGCCAGCAGAGGCCAGCAGAGGCCAGCAGAGGAATGTAGAGGCATGTAGAGGCATGGAGAGACCAGCAGGAGCAACCAGTAACACATAGAAATCGTTATAAGTTGTCGAAAGTATTAGGTGTGGTCAGCAGCGGTCAGCAGAGGCGAGCAGAGGCAGGCAGAGGCTAGCAGAGGGATGTAGAGGCATCTAGATGCATGTAGAAGCATGTAGAGGCATGTAGAGACCAGCAGGAGCAAGCAGTAACACATAGTAATCGATACACGTTGTCGGAAGTATCAGGAATGGTCAGCAGCGGTCAGCAGGGGCCAGCAGAGGCCAGCAGAGGCCAGCAGAGGCCAGCAGAGGGATGTAGAGGCATCTAGATGCATGTAGAAGCATGTAGAGACCAGCAGGAGCAAGCAGGAACACGTAGTAATCGTTATACCTTGTCAGAAGTATCAGGAGTGGTCAGCAGCGGTCAGCAGAGGCCAGCAGAGGCCAGCAGAGGCCAGCAGAGGGATGTAGAGGCATGTAGAGAGCAGCAGGAGCAAACAGGAACACGTAGTAATCGTTATACCTTGTCAGAAGTATCAGGAGTGGTCAGCAGCGGGCAGCAGAGGCGAGCGGAGGCAGGCAGAGGCCAGCAGAGGCCAGCAGAGGCCAGCAGAGGAATGTAGAGGCATGTAGAGGCATGGAGAGACCAGCAGGAGCAACCAGTAACACATAGAAATCGTTATACGTTGTCGGAAGTATCAGGAGTGGTCAGCAGCGGTCAGCAGGGGCCAGCAGAGGCCAGCAGAGGCCAGCAGAGGAATGTAGAGGCATGTAGAGGCATGGAGAGACCAGCAGGAGCAACCAGTAACACATAGAAATCGTTATACGTTGTCGGAAGTATCAGGAGTGGTCAGCAGCGGTCAGCAGGGGCCAGCAGAGGCCAGCAGAGGCCAGCAGATGGATGTAGAGGCATCTAGATGCATGTAGAGGCATGTTGAGACCAGCAGGAGCAAGCAGTAACACATAGTAAGAGTTATACGTTGTCGGAAGTATCAGGAGTGGTCAGCAGCGGTCAGCAGAGGCGAGCAGAGGCAGGCAGAGGCTAGCTGAGGGATGTAGAGGCATCTAGATGCATGTAGAAGCATGTAGAGGCATGCAGAGACCAGCAGGAGCAAGCAGGAACACTTAGTAAGAGTTATAAGTTGTCGAAAGTATTAGGTGTGGTCAGCAGCGGTCAGCAGAGGCGAGCAGAGGCAGGCAGAGGCTAGCAGAGGGATGTAGAGGCATCTAGATGCATGTAGAAGCATGTAGAGGCATGTAGAGACCAGCAGGAGCAAGCAGTAACACATAGTAATCGATACACGTTGTCGGAAGTATCAGGAATGGTCAGCAGCGGTCAGCAGGGGCCAGCAGAGGCCAGCAGAAGCCGGCAGAGGGATGTAGAGGCATCTAGATGAATGTAGAGGCATGTAGAGAGCAGCAGGAGCAAACAGGAACACGTAGTAATCGTTATACCTTGTCAGAAGTATCAGGAGTGGTCAGCAGCGGTCAGCAGAGGCGAGCGGAGGCAGGCAGAGGCCAGCAGAGGCCAGCATATGCCAGCAGAGGCATGTAGAGACCAGCAGGAACAAGCAATAGCAAGTTGTAATCGTTATAGGTTGTCAGAAGTATGAGGAATGGTCAGCAGCGGTCAGCAGCGGCCGGCGGAGGACTGTAGGATAATTCAAAAGCACATGTAGTCGTACCTTATACATCGTACTTTTTAGCTTATACTTCAGGTAAAAAGGGGTGTAGTAAAGTAAAAAATACCTGGGCAGTCGAGACTTGGAATCGTATGCCGTCGACGTGAGGTCGAATTTTAGTTGTTCAAGTGCGAGAAGGCAAATGAGCCTTTCTCTCTCGACTCCCACGAGACGGTCCGAAATTACTTCGGGCAGCTTCGGAGAATCGAGAAAGAGGGCATGTGTCAGTTTGCCTCTGTCGACTTTCCGAAACTCTACGAGCTCACGTACGCGTGATCTGGCATGTGTGAGTAGGGCACCGTCGGTGCTTTTCTGGCACCTCTGCTATATATAGGTATTTGGGGAAATAGTACTAGATCGATGTTGGTGTCATTGGAAATGTACGTGCTCGGGCGATAGGATTTTCCAGTTGTAGACGATGGTCATCGTGGAAATATTAAAATCAAATTTCTGTTTAATGTAAAAATGGTATTACTTAGACGTAATGGGTTGTTAAAGAATAGAAACTTAATTTTTCTGTGTCCAAAGCATCATATTAAAAATGGAAATAAGTTGCACGTTGAATCCGATTCGACGAAATTTACGGAGCACGAGGCAAAAGTGCAATTATCTGACGGGTAAGAACATCACGTGTTATTTAACCTAATTGATAAAAACGTATACCCGGTATACATTCTTGTTCAGTTTTTCGCACATAAAAAATACGGCCAATTTGGATAGCAAATTTAAGCGATTGTTTTTCTTATTTTTAATTTAATTTATTTCATGTATTGCTTCAGGAGAAAGATGACGTTTAGAACTGGAAAATATGCACGTTTCGCAGGTGGAAGTGTTGTCGCCCAATTCGGTGATACATCAGTTATGAGCACCGTAGTGAGAAAAGATGTATTAACCAATAGTTCTGTACTTCCTCTAACTGTAGATTATAGGCAGAAAGCTTCAGCAGCAGGTCGTATACCAACAAATTTTTTTCGCAGAGAAATAGGTTACACACAACATGAAATTCTCGCAAGTAGAGTAATAGATAGATCTGTACGTCCTATGTTCAACGAAGGATATTGTTATGAAACACAACTAATATGTAATTTGTTGGCTGTCGATGGAGTGCATGATCCTGATGTATTATCTATTAATGCTGCGTCTGTGGCGTTAAGCATTTCCGATATTCCATGGAAAGGGCCCATTGGAGCTGTGAGGATTGGATTTATAGATAACGAATATGTAATCAATCCTTCAAAACGCCAACTTCAGCATAGCTCGTTAAATCTTATTGTTGCCTGTGCATCTAAAAATCTTGTTGTTATGGCAGAAGGATCGGCTAATGATATTATAGAACAAGATCTTCGTAAAGCTATACGAGTAGCTGCCAAAGATTGTCAATTAATTATAAATTCTATAACTAACTTACAAAAGAAATCTGGAAAATGTAAAACAGTAATAACTGATAATGTAGAAACGACCAATGATATGACAGAGACTGTAAGAGAATTTTCCGAAAATGAGATACTTAATGTTTTTAAATGTTATACTCATGATAAAATTTCACGAGACAATGCTATTATAGATTTAAGAACCAAAATGTTAAATGAGTTGGCGAACAATGATACAAAGACTGCTGCAACTGCTACAATTGCTTTCAACAACCTTATTAAAACAGTTTTCAGAACTGCAGTATTCGATACTAATAAGAGGTAGGTTTCTGCATGTTTTTGGTAAATTCAGTTACAAGTATCAGTTACTATGTATATCTTCTATACATAATTTAACAATTTCAGATGCGACGGTCGTAAATTAAACGAATTAAGAGATATACAATGTGAAGTGGAATTATTTAAACCAGTTCATGGTTCTGCCTTCTTCCAAAGAGGACAAACTCAGGTTTTATGTACAGTAACTCTGGATTGCATAGAAAATGCTCTTAAAATGGATACTATTTCAATGCTAACTAGGTATTACGCATACCAATTCTTTACAAATATTTCTGCGGTATAAGTTGAACATCGTTTCTTACAAACTTACAGCGGCGTAAAGGAAAAGAATTTTTTTCTACATTACGAGTTCCCTCCGTATGCAACTAACGAGACGGGTAGAGTAACTGGATTTGCTCGTAGAGAAGTAGGTCATGGAGCATTGGCGGAAAAAGGGTTGCAATCGGTTATACCAAAAGATTATCCATTTGCTATAAGACTTACAAGCGAAGTATTACAATCAAATGGTGAGTTCCGTAGATACGGGATAGGAATTGTTTAAAAAATATTGTGTAACATGATAACTGACAAAATATTTTCTAACGTTACTTAAAGGTTCTTCTTCCATGGCTTCTATATGTGGGGGCAGTATGGCACTGATGGATGCAGGTGTACCGATATCGTCTCCAGTTGCCGGTGTAGCTATTGGATTAATATGTAAATTCAGTAATGATACAAACCAGATAGAAGATTATAGAATATTAACGGATATATTAGTAATTATATTTTTGTTGATATTTAAGTAAAACACGCAACGCGAAAGGAATTAAGTTTCAATTTTTTAAATAACACAGGGCATCGAAGACTATCTCGGTGACATGGATTTCAAAATATCCGGTACAAAAAAAGGATTTACCGCTTTACAAATCGATGTAAAAATACCAGGAATCCCTATGAAGATAATAATGGAGGGTATTCATCGAGCAACCGAGGCAAAGAATCAAATCCTTAATATCATGAACGGTGTAATATCATCTCCGAGAAAAGATAAGACAGAAAATAAACCGGTACTCGAAACTATTGAAGTGCCCGTGTATCAAAGGGCGAAATTTATTGGGATTGGAGGGTCAAACTTGAGAAAAATCTTAGTTGAAACTGGAGTTCATGTACGTTTAAAGAGCAGAAATACAAATTTCATTACATATATTTGTTATATAAACTGATTTATTTGTACTATTGCTATTTTTGTTTATAGATATACTCGCAAGTAGACAATATATATTCTATATTTGCACCTAATCAAGACGCAATGAACGAAGCCAGAGAAATGATTGATCAACTTTTGACGAAAGAATCTGAGCCAGTATTGACGTTCGGTGATATTTATACAGGAAAAATAACAGAAATTCGTGATTCGGGGGTGATGGTTACATTATATCCTAACATGCCGCCGGCGTTATTGCATAATTCGCAATTAGATCGACGTAAAATCCATCATCCCAGCGCGCTTGGATTGGCAGTCGGGCAAGAGATACAAGTGAAATATTTTGGACGAGATCCGGTCAATGGACAAATTAGGTTATCGCATAAAGTGTTACAAGAACCAATATCCTGCGATCAAAATTTAAATATCGTTGAAAAAATGAAGAAATAATTTCAAAGTTTTGTATTCCTCGATAAGAATTACGCCGATAATAATAAAAAATTTATCTCATTTTGACAATTTCATTTAAAATTGTTCAATAAAATGTCATAGACTGAATACACTTAATACGTTAAATAGATATGTCCATAAATACATAAGTGTGCTGAAAAATCTTTCGTTATGTCTCTATTAGTGGATTAACGAAGTGCTGTAAATAATATTTTATACAAATTGTTAAATATAGTAAAAATAAGATCAATCAGAAGTACTTATTCTTGATTTATCCACGTAATTTGTTCCTAAACCATTTCCGCTTAATTTCTTCGTCTAATTTCTATAGATCTTTTTCTTAATCGTTGATTTCTTTAACCGATGGTTTGTTGTTAATACACTTTCCCCATCCCCTCTACCAGAATTCTATTGACTGACACGAACTTGAAGAGTTACGGAAGTAGCTGACTGCAATAAACATTTAACGATCGGGTATCGACAACATGTGATTTCAAGCTATATCGAATGCGAACCGAAATTGCTAAATCGGAAATGGCTGCGCGTTTTCTCTATCGTTATATTTTCAAGCGGACGTCCACCTTTATCTTGGGCATTGTCGTTGCCTCGATGTGTTTCGAGAGAGCTTACGATCATGGTTGCGAAAGCATCTTTGAATGGATAAACGAAGGCGTAAGCTATTGATTTTTGTACTGGCACGTTACAGAGGTTCGTTCGCTCGAACTTGAAAAAATGAATTTGCTGCGTGCGTTAGTGCATTTTGGACGTAAACATTGTTTAGTTTATAGCGATTATATTTAATAACTGGCGTAGCCAGAAATTTTCATTCCTCTTATAAAACTTTCAAATAGCCGGTTATTTTACGCGTCTGTCTGATTTCTGATCGTGAGTCTGTCGAGAAGTTTGTAAAATTAATTACGTATTTACATGAACTTAAAAAAAACTTTTAGAATGTTTTAGGTTATTGTATCGTTTACTCGCGTTTCATACTAGCTTTATCGTTTTCACAGAGACTTTGGATGCATATAAAAGATCAGTACGAGGATCAATCGCAGCAATTGAATTACAAGCATAATTTAATCAAAAAAGAGATATCTAATTTACATAGAGAATCGAACAAGCGAACGAAAGAAGATTAATCAATTTGAGTAGAAAAATTATTAGACACGATGCGCAAAATCGATCCTTTCAGTAATAAAATTTTACAATGACCCTGATATTAAATGCAATTATATTTAGTGTAAAGAACATCAATGCGTTACTGTTTCTCGCAACTGTGTACTGTGTACTGTGTACTGTGTACTGTGATCTGCTGACTTGACGTCCCGCGTCTATCTATCTTGCTCCCTTGCTCTCAGGCGGTTCGGATGTGTGTGTAATTGCCGCGACGAATCGCGAACCAGAGTTCAATGTGTGGGAATAGGTGTATCCCTTATACTTTTCTCGCATTTCTGCCACAGGACTTCAATTCAGCGAAGGGCAGTGTATCGTGATTATCTTTATTTCTAAGTATGATATCAGTCGCTGTATGTATCGGATACCGTGCGTCGTAACTGATATATCCAATATTTTTTATCTCCCATAAAGATAATACGTATAAAGCATTCCCTTACTCGGCCGAGGCCCATTTCGATACAAATAACTGACCCGTGATGTTTGTTAGAATCTGAAATTTGGTTCTTCATAAATAAATAGTGTTATATCGTTCCTGTTGCATACCACGTGAAAAAGAAATATCGCCGCATAGTTTACCAAAGTCATATTTAGATCGTGTGTAAAAGGTAAGGTCGCTTTGTTATTTATCTTTTGTTAATTAATGGGTTCGTTGTCAGTGACGCGCAAGCGAATGTTGAAAGATCGTAATAGGTAAATTGAATAATGTATACGAAGTTGTAATAGAATCGGTCGACGAACACCATGTTTTACTTAACATTTTTCTGTAGAACATAAAAATACTTGTGAAAAAATTCACTTCAATATATCGTCGTAATTTTTATTTACAAGGAAAATAATATAATAAAGGAAACTACGATGGTTTACCTTTTATTTACTCGTATTCTAATTTCAGAAAGCCAAAACAATGAAACTGCTATTTACTACCTTGGCAGTATTAATTTTGCTGCTGTCAACCGTATTAGGAACAAGCGTTCAAACCGTGTCCGACGAATACGAAGATTATTCGAACGATTGCGATAACGACAGTTTAATTTTACATTTAACTGACTCCAGAATCACAATAAATGCAATTGACGCTCCCAAGATAAGATGTTTAACTATCGATTATAACGGACTTGAAACTATAGACGATGGAGCTTTCGACCAAGTGCCAAACTTGGAATATTTGAATCTTGAAGGCAATACAATTTTACCTAACAATTTGTTTTCGTTCGGTAATCTTACGAATATCAAAACATTGATTCTCGGTAATCAAAATTACTATTATACAGGCCTCATGCGTGTGACTGGCGTATATCCTAAATTGCGATATCTCGATTTAAAAAATTGCGGTATTTCCGATGTAGAATGTGAAATGAAAAATTGTTTCCCGGAACTAACGCATCTCGATTTTTCATCGAATTCCTTAGTATATTTGTATACTAGTTTCGAAAATGTGTTCTACGGAAAATTAAAGTATCTTCGTCTCGATGATAACATATTACAACAAGTTTCGTTTACAAACAATTTGAATTTGTCGTCGTTATCGTTGAACAACAATAAGATTTCGATAATAGGTAGTAGTGGTCTAAACTTGACGGGACTGAAAAATTTGCAAAATCTTTCGGTAGCGGTTAATAGTATTCGTCTTATAGAAGAAAAAGCATTTACGGACACGATAAATCTTCGGTACTTGAATATTTCTATGAACAATTTAACGATCTTAAATGACGAGACATTCAAGAACTTGAGTTCTCTGCAAGTTTTAATATTGGATCAAAATATGTTCGATTCTGTTCCTATAATTACATCCACGAGTATAATGACATTCTCGATGAATTGTAACATTGTAAAACATCTGACGAGCAGTTCTTTTTTCAACTTGCCGAATATGAGAAAACTATTCCTAGGAAGTAATATGATTTCTTTCATCCAGCTTGACACGTTTGTAAACCAAAAAGTGTTGGAAGAACTGTATTTAAATGATAATGAGTTAAGCTCTTTGCCGAATGGTTGGTGCAATAATATGAAGGAGCTTCGACATCTGGACTTGTCGAGGAACAAATTTACGTCGTTGAACCCGCTGTTCCAGTGCTCTAATTTTCCTGTACAACGCGTTATCTTTGATCACAATCCTCTCGAGTATATCAACACGGATACAATAAAAACGATGCCGAAAAATGTAAAGATTTATTTGAATTATAATTTGAATCTTACTGTGCCGTTATGTAGTAATTTGTGAAATAAATTCGTGAAATTCGCAAAGTTTGAAGTAGTCGCGAGTCCAGCGTGGAAAGAAGCGATTACTCAAATTTAATATCTATATAATTCATTACTCGCGCGTATACATATATATATATGTCTGGCTATCTCATATTTGGTAAAGAATTGTTTAAGGGAACAATTCTTATTTTTTTTTTTTTGTTCTATGTTACGATAGTACTGGGTTGTCGTTCGACAATTCTTCTACAATTTTTGTTAAAAATCAGTCTAGCGTCAATTTGTTATGTATTGTATCGTATCGTACGTCGATTTATAACACGATCAGAAATCGATAGTATCGGTAAGCCTAAGTGGTAGAAATATTCATCGAAAAAATTTTGATGTTGTTATAGTACATGTACCTATACATATGCAATAATAAACGTGCATTTACGGTTTAGGAGAAATCGTTGTCACAAGTTATTTACTCCTCCTTCTTTTCCTCGTATTATGAGCAGTATGTACAGTGCTGTACTGTTTCGTCGGTAAAAAACGGTAGACGGCGACGATCTTCGTATCTAAACGAGACATTCGGACAAAGATTATAGCGACCATTCGAACATTTCATGACGCAGCATCATAAACTGAAAGAGAATTAGACAGCGTATCTTCAACGAACTTTGACACATTTATTGCTTACCAGGCAATTCTCTCGACTTAAAAGTCGTTTAATTTTCATGCAACCGTATTTAAGCAATTCTCGTCAGTGAGCTCGATCTTCTGTCTTCCGAGTTGACGCAGTACGCATCGCACATTCAACGTTTTAACCAGGTATTTAAATAGGTATAGGTATATATGTAGGTATATACAGGGTGTTCGGCCACCTCTAGCAAAAATTTTAATGAGCGATAGTAGAGGCCAAAATAAGACGAAAATCAAGAATACCAATTTGTTGATGGAAGCTTCGTTAAAAAGTTATTAACGTTTAAAGTGCCGCCCTTACTGAATTTTTTTCTCGAAAAAGCGCAAGATTTCGGGGGTGTGTCTATTCACCAAAAATGACTGTAATTGAACCCTACAACCGAAAATAATTTTTCCACAACGATTTGCAACTTTTTAATTTTCTCGAATAATTTCACACATTCTCTATTCTTTTTGTCGAAAGTGGGCAGGATTTCGTGGGTATGTCTAATGACAAAAACTGATTGCAATTGACCCCCGCAAACGAAAATAATTTTTCCACAACGATTTGCAATTTTTTTTCTCCGTTGAAAAAATTTAGGCACCTAATTGGATTTTCAGTAAGGAATTTTTTTCTCGAAAGTGCGTACAATTTCGGAGGTATGTGTAATGATAAAAAATGATTGTAATTGATCCCCGCAACCGAAAATAATTTTTTTAGAACGATTTGAAAAATTTTTTTTCGCCAAAAAATTTCACCACCTACTAGATTTTTTTTCTCGAAAGTAGATAGGATTTCGGAGGTATGTGTACTCACCAAAAATGATTGTAGTTGACCCCCGCAACCGAAAATAATTTTTCCAGAACGATTTGAAATTTTTGAATTTAATTGTTAATAACCTTTTAACGAAGCTTCCATCAACAAATTAGTATTCTTGATTTTCGTCTTATTTTGGCCTCTACTATCGCTCATTAAAATTTTTACTAGAGGTGGCCGAACACCCTGTATAGGTATACCTATATCTATGTATATAGAAATCAGTTCGCTCGTTGATTGTCATTTCGATAGAACTGTCGGTATTAAACGTTATTAGTCGCGTATTAAAATGTTTGCGTGGCCGTTGAATAATTTCAAATTAGATGAAGATGCCGTTTTGTCCGACGCATGATCGTTATCGGATATTACGTTCTACGCGACGATATCTATTACACAATTATCGTGAAAGCATGTACATGTAGTTGGGATTATCAAATCGACGCTTCGTTAATTAAATGATTTGTATAGTTTGCCACCATCGATGTTCTCTTTATTTATCTAGATAGAGTTAGAAAAAATTCTTGAAATATTCAACTTATCAACTTTTCAACTTTCAAATCAGGAGATCGAAAATAATTGATTGTATTTATCTGTTTTGTAGGAGCTGTGTTATCATGATAACAAGATACTTGCTGATTTTTTCGATCGCGATTCCGGGTTTAGTCGCCAGGACCGTGTCCTGGGACACAAAATATGCTGATGTGGAGATCGACCAAAAAACTGTATATAAGCAAGACATTATCAGATGTCTTGATGATGAAAGCGTTAGATTATCTGGTTTGAATTTCATCGAAATTCCCAATCATATCGTAAAAAGCGACGCAATAAAAGCTATATCGCTGGACGATAATAACATTGTGAAACTGCCTGCGAACGTGTTCGACGAGGTACCAAATTTACAATGTTTAAATCTTGCAAAAAATAACATACCATATGAACGATTGTTCGGCTTTCGTCATAATAAGTTAAAAACCCTGATTTTTGATGATAATCCAAACAGAGGGCAAACAATGTTTTCAAATTTCGAGCCAATCAGATATTCGACTCCACCTGCTGGCACCTACTTCCCAAACCTGGAGAGTCTTAGTTTAAACAACGTTTATTTTGAGAATTTTCCTTCGCATTTCAATGAATCCTTTCCGCGTCTCTCAACGCTTTATATAACGGATAATGGTCTGCAATTTTTGGACGATAATATATTTTCAATATTACCCAGTAATTTAAAAGGTCTTCATTTGGAAAGAAATAACTTTACATCTCTGATTTTGAGAGATGCAGGAAATATCGAGGAGTTGTATTTTGATGGCAATCCTCTGGTCTCTTTTGAAATTGGTCCTGGCAGCTCTACCATAAAACTGATTTCGCTCGCAAACTGTACACTCAATTCTAGGGACCAGTTTCAAATACAAGCTCCGTTATTAACTACGTTAGATTTGTCGTACAATCGATTAACTACGATCCCTTTCCAAAGTATTCCACAATTTTTGGAAAAATTGTCTTTAAGTCATAACGAGTTTACGAGCGTGCCAAATCTGGGGTACCTACAGAAACTCCACAGTTTATCCTTAAGTCATAATATAATAGAATATATTAATGACGAAATTATGCAACTGTTACCTGAATCGTTACAAAAATTGAGCCTACGAGGAAATCGAATAAACAGCATCGACGATATGGCTTTCTCGACGTTTTCCATGCTCGAAGAATTGGATCTATCAAAAAATAAACTACGATCGTTGCCTGCAGTATGGGCGAAAAACTTGAAAATGTTGCGACATTTAAATCTAAAATCGAATTTTTTCGCGACAATCGCTGACATGAGTATTTCCTCGTTAATAAGTTTAAGGGCGTTATACATAGAAGAGAATATGGTAACATTTATCGATGAAAATTCTCTTCAATTAGTACCTAAACTATGTACCGTGTACGTTAGGTAAGAGACCGCTTTAATACCGGGATTAGGTATTTTTCACTTCAAGTGTTATCTTTTGTTCTTTATGCCTGCCTTTTAAACCCTTAGTACAAAAGATGTAATGTGTAAGGAACTGCAAATGCTGATTTTACATAGTCGAACATTATCGCTTATAAAATTTTAACAAAATAAATTATGTAATTATGTAATGCTGAATATAATTAAATTTTAATTCAACTGCTTTGCTATCTTTATGTGTCTCTATACTATCGTATCCTGATTTTTGTTTGCGACCAAACATTCCCGACTGATATACCATGGTTATCGCGATACTTGTGTAAACTTGAGCGCAGCGAGAGATAGTCTTTCTAGAACTATGCACGGCCGATCTCAGCAATTATACATAGGTGAATTGGATATGTATGTATATCGGCCAAGTGCCGGCTGTAATTTCTCTTTCTCCCTGCTTTCTATGGTTTTAGCGTTAAACGAGCACGAACTCGACCATCTCGAGAAACATTTAAGGGAACGTCATCTTTCTTTGTTTTCTAAATTCATTTTAAGAGAGCAAGATCACCTTCTCTAACACTCGGTTATTCTCCGATTCCGTCGTACAACCTGCAACGTTACGAAATAAAATAATGATCTTCTTTTACGAAGGACGAAACGTAGAAAAGTAGAAACGTTAGTTGCGATCACAAGAGCAAACGTCGATCGATTGTTACGGATACTTTAGAAGCGAACAACGTTCTACGATACGTTACGTACGCGTTTGAACAATGTCTGTACCGGTTTGTTAGGAGTATTCCTAATTTTCGGAATAAAAATTACGAAGGAAATACGCAAGAAGGAGTGGAAAATATCGTACGCAGCATGTTTAGACCATCGCGGACAGTCAGAGGTTGACTACGGCCCTGAGATCGCCATGGTGTTAAATTACCTGGGAATTATCGCTACTTCATAAGCAGTTAAATCGTGACCATCGGGACAGAAGGTGCTGAGCTATCCGTACGTGCTGAATCAAAGGGGTGTATGTATTCGTTTCGACCGCGATCTACGAACGTAAGTTACACAATCTTGCAATTACTCGACAATCATAGAGACGGTTTACCAATTTTCAGAGTTTTCGATTTTCTAAAAATTCAAAGTTCCGAGAATTAAGAACCGTTCCAGCGGCTTAGAGAATTTATTTAGTAAATAAGGAATATTTAGTAAAACTTGTTGATCTCTACTCCATCTCTCTGTACCGCTGCGCTGTGCCGACTTTCGAAACCTTTTGCTCGTGTTCACAGATGCCGGTCAGTCGACTTAGGAAAATTATACTTGTACTCCTGGTCAGCTTGCAGCCGATCCCTGGTCATGTTAGGAATCAGTCAGCTATTATAAAAGTCCAACTGTACAACGAGAACGAACGACCTCATATTAGCAAAACTACGCCTCCGACTCTATTCCAAAACAACAACAACAACAACAACAACAACAACAACAACAACAACAACAATAACGACGTTTACGAGGAGAAAGAACGTTATGTTAGCAAAATTCCACGGCCACCGTATGTACCGGAGTGCGGTCCCGAGTGTTGGAGGTGCGAGTATCAGGACGAGTTCTTAACCCTTAAATTGGCGCGCATGGGCTTGAAGAGGATCGGTGACAATTTCATTGATAGCTCGAGGGTGATCGAATTGCATCTTCAAGACAACAATATCACGGAGATCTCGAATAACGCGTTCGACAACCTCCCTAACTTGAAGCTGTTGAATCTTTCCGGCAACAACGTCTCTGCCGATCGGCTGCTGTGGTTTGGCAAACTCAATGCCCTGCGAACGCTCATCGTGGACGACAACAAGCGCAGCGGAAGCGTGGAAAAGATCTTTCATCCGTTGCCGAATCTGCGGGAACTATCTCTGAAGAGAAACAGAATTTATCGACTAACCGTCAATTTAAGAGCGTTCGCGCCACAGTTGACGCATCTCTACCTGCCCGGAAATAAAATCGAGTCGTTGGACTTTGTTCGCGAGCTGCCCGATACTCTGCTCCATCTGTATCTGGACGACAATTTGATCGCGAATCTCGAATCGGGCATACCAAAGAACATCGTGGAGCTCTCTGTTAGCGGGAATAAGATCAAAGAGTTGTGCTCCGACGCATGCAAGTATAGCAGCTCTTCTTTGTCGTTGACAAATGCGATCATGTTGTCGAAACTGAACGCGTCTCGCAATAGCAACATCGAGATCGCGAACGATACGTTCCAAAACGCGAAACGTCTCGTCACCTTGGACCTGTCGCACAACAAATTACACAGATTATCGAACGACCTCTTTCACCGGATGTCGTGGCTCGAGGAACTCTTTTTGAGTCACAATAACTTTACCACGATACCGAACATCTGCTCGCTGTATCGTATAAAACGATTGGATTTGACCGGCAACCAAATCGTGACCATTACGAATGATAATTTCTGCTCGCATGCCCTCCATTTGGACACGCTTCTTCTGGCCAACAATCACATCCTCGACCTGGACAGCAACGCGTTCGCGAATCTCAATTCGTTGACAAAGTTGGACCTGTCCGACAATTTAATCATCGATTTTCCCGCCGGGCTGATCACGATACTAAAATATCTCGAGGTCTTTATGATACGGAATAACAGAATCGTAAATCTTGACAACTTCAGCTTTGCAAACTCGAACGTGCTGCGGGAGTTGCACCTTCAACGGAACCCGTTGCTGTACGTCACATTTAATTTGCTTAATAAAGCATACTTGCCGAATCTCGTGATACATTTGAACGATCTGCCGCAAAACAACGAGGACGACCGCAAGGACGACAACGAGGACGACAACGACGACGACAACGAGGACGACAGCGAGGACGACAGCGAGAACAGCATCGAAGATTAAACAAACTCGATATTCAAATGATAGGTATGTTGAAAAAAATCATTTTCGATAAAATATTGTTGTTAAAAGAACGAATCGAACCAAACGTCGCGTTGTACGCAGTCTACGTACACAATTTTTATACACATTCTCTAACAAAAAACAGAACGACCAATTCTCATCTCTATAATATAGTATAATCGTCGAATAGTTGGAAGTAAATGTGCATTCTTTTTCTTACGCGACGTTTCGATTTTTTTCCAACGTTTGTCCTCTTTAATTTTTAGCATTTCTCAAGATCGATTTCGTTTTACCTCTTTCAACGTAAGGAAATTTCGATGAAGGAAGAAAATTGAATCGAACATCGTTACTATATAAATTACTCCGATCGACGAACAATTTTATCAATTATAATATTGTAAGAATATTAAACGAATACGAAAACGAAACAGCGCGATGCTTATTGAATTGTTTCCCTTTGAAAGAGATCGCTTATTTTTACCCCTGTCATGGTCCCCTTCCGCGAAGAAAGCAAAAAAAATGTGTTCCTGGCGTCGCTTGTCCGGACGATCTAGCTGCTTCGATCTAGGAAAACGTGGAAATCGGCTCGAGCAATAACGATGTAAAGCACCGTAGAAGAAGAGCGCGGTTCCATCCAGTTAGATCTGGCCTAGGTTGACCGAGCCACCTAGAGAAGCGAAAGATATAGGGGGTGGAAGGCTCTCCCCTGCTGATCAAGGGTGTCGGTTGGAACGGAGAAAGAGGGTGGACGAGTAGGTAGGAACGCATGCGCTTCCTGCAAACCGGTGCGTTGGCAGGGATGCTCGAGAACAGAGATAGAGAGATAGGAAGAGATGGATAGATAAATAGATAGATAGATAGTTAGATAGATAGATAGAGAGATAGAGATAGAGATAGAGAGAGAGAGAGAGAGAGAGAGAGAGAGAAAGAGGAAAAAAGAAGGAAACATTGGTAGCGGGGAAGATCTGAGAAGAGAGGAAAAGAGATATCGCGATCGGTGAAGCAGCATGAGACCGATAAAGACGCATATCGAGGGTGTCGCCGTGCGGGCAGAGAAGGAACGCGTCGACGGGGGTAGGTAGGATGTCGAGGGTGCAAAGGGGGAAGAATCGGGCAGCTAGAGAGACAGAAGAGGACAGAGGAGGCGAGGTCTCCCGCGTCTAGCCAGCTCGAGACTCGCCACCTCCCACCCGGCTATCTCTCTCTCTTCTTTCAGTGTTCGTTCGAACACGGCCCGGTACAGTTATATCGTTCCGTGCTCAAAGGGTTCTCCTCGTGATGGGAGCTCGAAATCGCGGTGGTATCGGTAACTTTCCTCGGTAGCCCGATTCCCCGAGCCGTACCGATGTCGCGGGGTTTGTCAGGGTGACGCGTGCGGTTTTTAAACAGCTGCTCGATTCGTTATCGGCGAGGGAATATCTCCACTAGGCGGACAAGCGAGCATACAACCGAGAGCAACATTGGCTGGACAAGAATTTGGAAAACGGAGGAATACAAAGGGGAGAGGGATAACGAGAGATAGACAGATTGAGAGAGAGAGAGTGCGTGCCTGTGTGTACGCGTGCATGTGTGTGTGTGTACGTGCGTGTGTACGTGAGGGAGAGAGAGAGAGAGAAAGTAATAAAGTGGGTGCGAGAGAGTGTGAAATCGGAGACGAGGGGGGTTGGCTAGCATAGCAAGTGTGGGTGCAGAAAGGACAACACTTGACAGACAGGGAGTAACCTCGAACGTCCGGTGTCGACGAAGAAACACTGGTGAGACCTTGAACGGATGGAAGACGCGGGTAGACGCGAGCAACGAGCTGCTGACTTGTAGGTGGAATCACGAGGACGCGTGTAAGATCCAGATCGTTTTGGATACATATACATATAATCGAAGCGTCGTTCGTAGCCGATTTTTGGTAGCTTCGTATACGAGAGATTCCTTGAACGGGTACACACACACCAGCTATCTTCGGTTTCGAACGCGCGCAATTCGGCCGCCATCGGCCATCGACTAAGAGAATAGACATCTTGAATGGTGGTATAGAGTTAGAAAATAGTCGGAATAGGCGAAAGGAAACGAACGGAAAGAGAAAAAGATGTCAGGGAATTATTCGGTTCGTTGCGAGCCCGGTCTGGTGGTGCCGATGTGGCATCCCGAGGAAAACCTGTATCTCTCGGACCTGATCATTCGCGGATCGATCTACTTCCTGCTGCTGTTGTACTTGTTCATCGGCGTGTCGATTATCAGTGATCGTTTCATGGCGGCGATAGAGGTGATCACGTCTAAAGAGAAAGAGCTGATTGTACGCCGTCAGGGCAAAGAGCCGCAGATCGTCGTGGTAAGAGTGTGGAACGAGACGGTGGCAAATTTGACCTTGATGGCGCTGGGCAGCAGCGCGCCCGAGATCCTGCTGTCGATCATCGAGATCTGGGCGAAGAACTTCCAAGCCGGGGAATTGGGTCCGGGGACGATCGTCGGCTCGGCCGCGTACAATCTGTTCGTGATAATCGCCCTGTGCGTGTTCGTGATACCGAACGGGGAAACCAGGAAGATCAAGCACCTGAGGGTCTTCTTCGTCACCGCTACGTGGAGCATCTTTGCGTACGTATGGCTGTACGTGATCCTGGCAGTGTCCAGCCCGGGTGTTCTCGAAGTATGGGAGGGCGTGCTCACCTTCTCGTTCTTCCCGGCCACCGTGCTGACGGCCTACGTGGCCGATCGACGTCTCCTGATCTACAAGTATCTGCACAAAGGGTACAGAATGAACAAGAGAGGCGTGATCGTGCAAGCCGAGGCCGGCGACTCGGACACGGCCGGGGTGGAGCTCGAGATCAAGCCGCAACAGGACAGTTTAAACAGCATGATGGACGCGGACACGCCCGAGGCGAAGGAGTTTGAGCAAACTAGGAGGGACTACATCAATACCCTGCGCGAACTACGAAAGAAACATCCGACTCTGCCGCTCGAGCAACTCGAAGTGATGGCTCACGAGGAGGTGCTCGGCAAGGGCCCGAAAAGCAGAGCTTTCTACAGGGTACAGGCCACCAGGAAGATGGTAGGCGCGGGTAATCTCAGCAAAAAGATCAGCGAAAGGGCGCAGAGCGATCTCAGCGAGGTGAAGGCCGAACTCCAAAGGCAAGAAGCCGAGAGCATCGACATCGAGAACGTAAATGCCATGAGGATCTACTTCGAACCTGGACATTACACCGTCATGGAGAACGTCGGCACATTCGAAGTGGGAGTGACCAGGGCCGGCGGTGACCTCGCCAAGCCTTGCTCGGTCGACTATTGCACCGAGGATGGCTCCGCCGAAGCTGGTTCCGATTACATCAGCGCAAAGGGCACTTTGACCTTCGATCCGGGCGAAACTAAGAAGACCATCAAACTCTCCGTTATCGACGACGAGGTGTTCGAGGAGGACGAGCATTTTTATGTCAGGTAAGAGAGCCACGCGCCGCCTATCTATGCGACATTTTCCAAATACTTTATCCGCGTCCTAGAAACGAACGTTACAAATAATTAACCACCCAATAACAACGTAAATTTCGCAACTTTAATTTTTTCCCCCGAGCAAGAATAAAGAGGTACCCGAAGAGACCTTCTCGTTACGTCGTTTCTTCCGTAAAATACTTTTACGTTCAATCTGTAATTCGGCTCGGTCGGGGGGGGCCGAGCCGCCAGTTCTTGGACGAAAACAGGAAGCGGATTCCATTCGAGGTACATACGTAAGTACTCCGTGGGGCTCGATCGCGACGTTCGCCGCTTAACGAGCTCGCTGCGATAATAAATTGATAATCGTCGTCGGGGAGAGCTCATCTTTCAATTAACTCGGGCCGGATGGCGCGCGCAATTTCATTACCGAATAAACTCGAGGCACAAAGGGACACTCTGCTTGTTCGCGGCTCGGATGTCAATTACCGTCGATTAATCGTTCGCGAAGAATTATGAACTCGCCGCGAGTCGAGTATCGGATTCAGGAGCCCGATTCTTTCGCGAGTATAGGTCTCGACTCGATTCAGGTTTATCTAACGCGACAGACGTGGGTCGTGGAAGAAGATGGGGACTGAAATGTGGCAACGGTACTCCCGAGTACGCTTACTCGAGACAAGCACCAGCCACTCGAATCAAGAGCGACAAAATTGCTCCTTTCGTTGGGGATCTCGGTCCGATCCCGTACCCGTGGTTACCAAACGATCAGAAAACGATCTAAACGATAAACGTGTACGTATCACGATAGCAGCGTTAGCTTTCCTATCCAAAACCGCGCCTAATAAAACCTCGAACCCCCGCGTTGTATAAAAGTTGTTCGTAGCTGTTTCAAGAACCTAAAACTACGTTGTACGCTTTTCGAGACCAGTATACGAACATACATAGATACATACGCGTATGTGCATACATATATTCGGTACTGGCGCGAACGAATCCGCGGAGTGTTCGTGCCGTTGCCGGACAAGATAAACAAAACTCGATAAGGATAGAATAATAATTAAGGTAGCTAGAATCGTCGATCGACACCGAACCGGACCACGAACCAGGTCGAGGAGAATATAATTACGTCGCGCTGAAATATGCGCATTCGTCGTACGGATTCGGTGACGTTCGATCGAGTGGATCGCGATATTTAGTCGTTGCACGCTCGCGAACGATCCGAGGTTATCGAATATCTGGCACGCGATCTAAAAAAAGTTCGCGAATAATGTAATCGAACTGAAAAATTGTTTCCAGGCTAACCAACGTCTCGCAACCGGCCATGCTGGTGTCGCCCAGTTTGGCCACGGTGATGATCCTCGACGACGATCACAGCGGCGTGTTCGGATTTCCGGAGAGGGACGTTGATCTAGTGGAAAGCGTGGGACAGTATCCTCTGCGAGTAGTCAGATACAGCGGCGCCAGGGGACGCGTGGTAATTCCTTATCGCACCATCGAGGGGACGGCGAAGCCTGGCAAGCAGTATCAACACACCGATGGCTCCCTCACCTTCGAAGACAATCAGACAGAGTGAGTCTATTAACATTATTTGTCTCTCGATCGGTTGGTTTTTTATTTAACAGGATCGCGGTCAATTCTTTAGTTTAAGGTGCTAACAGTTCGAAGAAGTCGATAAGAGCTTCGAGCGAAAACCCCCCCAACGTGTCGTTCAAGTAGTCTCAATTTTTATGCACAAATCAACTGAAATTTTTACATAGTACATAGTTGCCCTTGAAATTATAATCGCATCGTGGTTCGAACGTAACGCGTAACTATCGATGGGATTTTAACCGCTTCGAATCATCCTGGTTCTAAAAAGTTGTAACCGTTTGAAAGCTGAGATTCGAACAGTCCTGGACATCGGTACGCGTAACGTAGCTAACGAGCATACGTTGCAATGTGATTGAAAGTTAGGGAATGATTTTCAACGCAACGAAGACCGTGGTCGTGCAGGATTTATCGGTGACCTTAATTGGTTTCTTAGCGACTAAAGAGCTTTAGATTAGGTAATTCGGAGTCCCGATGGCCGATGGTCGGTTATCAAGGTATTCCTTTTTATATTATTTATCCTCTGATAAAATTAATGAAAAATTTCAATACACCGTGGAAACGAACGAATAATTTCGGGGAACTCGGAATGGCCTGCTTCGAGCCGTGTAAATCGGCCGTTGTCGTGTCACGATCGATGATTATCAATCGCTGGTTGAGTAATTGGACCGTGCAACGATGCTCGGTGTTTGTGCGTAATGGATGTCGAGGGTGGTCGAGATTCTCGTTGTCGGAATCGCGAGAACTTCCGACCGATCGCGCGATCTCGGTCAGACGGAGCCCAAGCTCCTTCAAATCTATCGGCTAGCACGCGTCCGATCGAGGATCGACGAATCTTGCGAGGAATTCGACCAACTTTCTCGTAAAAAGTTTCGATAATACCTCGTTTTCCTTCGTATCCCGTTCGATTTTTGATCGATTCTCAACAAATAACATCCGTGTCGTACAGTAACAACGGATCGATCGCGGGTGTAACGTAAAAAGAAAAAAAAAAAAAAAAAGGTACGCGAATAGATCCAAGGGTGAGACGCATCGATGAACGAAGAAAGAAAAAAACGTATAGAGAATCACGGTGTTAGGTGGAAAAGACACGGTGCAGGAATAAACGAAGCAGAAAATTATGCGATGAAAGTGCGCAGGGAATCGAAAGTTGTTGCATCCGACTCGTCGATTTGGTTGACTGGTTGATACGAGCATGCAACGAGTAGAAGGTAGTAAATTCGTAGTCTGGGAAGAACGTTGACTCTGGTAGGAGTATGTAGCGGGCGTAACAACGTGACTCGCGTCTCTTCTTTAAAGTTCCATATGCGAAAAGTGTGAAATATTCGCGGCGCGTTTCGCTCCTCGATCGCATAGAAAAATAGGCAGGCAACTCGGTGACTATACCGAACGACAAGTCCTGATCGCACGGGGGGGGAAAAAAATAAAACACGAGCCCGTAAATGGGCCAATAGGACGGGAAGCCCGTGGAATGCATCGTGTTACGCCCCTACGCACCCTTCGTCCCTCCACGAGTCAGGCCACCCCGTTTACACCATCGGCGGCTATCTCTCTATTTCCACGCGACAGACAACGCACACCTACTCGTAGGTATTTATTGTTCGTGCCTCGCGATCGAGGATCGTCGGTGGCAAGAAAGAAGAACGACCTACTCGTACGATACGATACACATTAACTCGCTCTACTTTTTTTCTCGGTTCGATTTTCAAATTCGTAGTCGAAAGAACGCGGAGGAATTTTACAGTCATTTGTTTCTATCGCATCGAACCGCCGTACTGCACAATATCTTTCACTCGTGGGCGCAATTTTTCAAGAACCCGCGGCTGTCGCGTTACGCGACTCGACCGGCGAGAATATTTCATCCTTTTTCTCGATATTTGATATTTCAGCAACCGTTCGCAAAAGCAAAACACAGGCGAAAACATCGCTAGCTCGCCGCCTCTGTACTTTTGATCGATTCAAGTATTTTCGAGACACACGGCGTTGAACGCGAGTGATTTGTCACCGCGATAAAAGGAGAAAAACCATCCGCCGCGGTTCGTAAAAAACCGCTCCGACGACTGCGTTACGATTAACGTGCACACGGCCTCGACCGTTATAGCGAAGCGAAACGTGGATGTTTCGAAGCGTTCCTCTGTATCCGCGACCGGCCGTCTATCAACGAACGCATTTCCACGAGACCGTTCGATCTAACGCGGGATTAGTCTCTTTGGAATATCAGTGTCTGCCCGGAGGACAGCGTCGTCGTTCGTATCCGAGGATCTAATTTTCCTGGGAAAATCGATAGGTCGCGCGGTGCGGTGCGGCGCGGCGCGACGGTAAATTGTTCTGCTCTGCTAGACATCGACGATTATTGCGAATTCTAGCCGAATTTATCGGCCCATTAGCCAGACCGGTTCTACGTTCCGAATCGTGGATCATCGCGAACGTGTACGAGCACACATGGCCCATTCTTTTCCAACTCGATATTCCGAGATCCGAGATTCCAAGATCGCGTCAATTACAACGGTCCTCGCATCGATGTCAGTTTACCGTTTACGCGTAATCCCATCGACATCATCTATCGATTACCGTTAAATGGAAACGAACCAAAGAACCAATAAGATTGTACGATCGATCCATCGAATGTTAAACCCATTTCGGGCTCGATTCGAATCTCAAGTTTCAAGCGTAGAGAGGTAAACAGCAGAGAAGGTAAATTCGTTACTCGGCATTTTACGTAGTTGGTTATCGCTTGTACGGTTTGATAAATCCATACTACGAAAGGAAGTTTGTACGACGGTAAGAGAACTTACGATTGCTTCGGCGAGGACGTTGTCGGCATCTAACCGGTCCAACTTGCGTTTAAGTGTGTTTTCCATACACTGAAAATACTTGATCGTATGTCTGAACGTGTATCGCGTAACACGTCCGTCGTTTAGTTTCCTGTTCACCACCGCATCGCGCGACAATCTCCACGAACAAGCTCACCCGACTTTCGTCCCCGTAAGCTTCTTCGAAATAACGACCGCGTGTCACCGATGATCGATCGACCTCGGCTTTAACGCGACGCTAAAAGTATCTATCGTTTCGGGAGACGAAAATCGACAACTAAAACGCGTTTAGCTAGACACAGAGAGACCGTAAAAGTTTCTCGGGCGAAGACAGATCGACGAAAAGAAACGCAAGACAAACGGACAAATATAGAATGTTGCGTTAAGCGCTGTAATTAGTCGAGGCAATGCACGCGTCTGCTGGCAGATTTGGTATTTATTCTTCCATTTCCTCTACCCGCGATGATAATTAATTTCGCGTTTAAATAAACCCGTCCACCGGTCCACCTAGCTACCCAATTAATCAGTCTACTCGCGTCGAATGACGCTAACGAACTTGCGTCGCTTCGAAACGTCCGCAGGGATAACGGTCCTGAAAAGTAATCGTCGTTGTAGCCCCGACCACGATCAATCGATACGTCGTATAATTAATGCGTTTGCATTATTACCGTGCTTTAATTACCGGCCGAACGTGTGTACATAGCTATATTAGGATGTTTCGTGGCTCGCATTCCCCGTCGAAGAAAATCCGTCGAGGATTTCACGCACTCTGTGCAGATTATTCTGCAAAGCGAGATATACATATACACATGGAAATACAGGAAGTAGAAAAGAGGTCCAAAAAGGGGTTAATTAACGCGAGAATATTTCAAGATCCGAAATCTCGCGGCAAGTTTCTGGGTTGGTTTCTGTTCCGAAATTAACGAGCTTCCTGGAGAGTTCGATGGCGGAGGGCATGGATTCGCAATGCCAGACCGCGATTAAATTTTATCCGTAGTTTCGGGAAGGTCGCCCAAGAGCCTGGCAATTGCTTTCGCTTCGAGGGGCTTTCGAACGTTGAAAATTTCAAAGCGACTCGTACGAAGATCGGAATTACGGCAAGACAGATCCTCCGGCAAATTATTCATTAGCGAGCAGTTTACTCGTTCTCGTTCTAGGGTACACTCGACGATCGTAGAAAAGGTCAACCCGACGAGGCTGTGCGAGTTGTCGGATCGTTGCCTTCCACGGATCGACAAAATTCTTATCTACGAATGCGAATTTCGAATAACGAATCAAGACGAGCGTAGAACAATTGAAACAGGTTGAAAATGTCACAGGTCCCCGTTAACGGTACACTGGGATATTTAGTCGCCCGCAAAAGAAACGGGATATACATTCGTGCATTTACGTAATTTCCTGTCTGTAACCTATGGGACGAGAAAACGGGCGTCTTGCGGATCAGCGAACTGCAACGATTAAGCAAGCAAATCCAATTAACGGGCTTTTGCGTAGCTACATAATGGGTCTATGGATAAGCAACCACGGCGCGGCACAGCATCGCACCGTAGCGCCCTTTAAAGCGCACGCTGTTAACCCCCTGGCGAATAAGAGCTACCGAACGAGGGGCTGTCACGTCATCGATAAAAAGCATTTTTTTGCGACGCGCCGGATGCTTCGATGTCGCGTCTATTTTCGCGTTTTCGCAACTGATTTCTTCTTCCGTGGAACTTGACTTGGGAACGAGCACTGATACCTGATCGAATAGTGCTCTTTTGATATGCGTGTAGGTAGCTACTTACTTTATAAGCAGAGAAACTAAGACCCACGGCCCGGTTTAGCCGTGACACGAGATTCGAATTATATCGGGCGCATGCCTCGCGTGACCGTAGCCAACGCCTTTCATACTGTCGCGCGCCGCGCTGCGACGACAGACTCGAACTCTCGACTTATCGTCGATCGCTGTTTTGCCCGATCGAGGCAAATCGAGATCGAGACGATCGACAACCACGCCCGTGGACAAATTTACGCTCAAAGCCGAACACTACATATATCGCGATAGATATTGGAATTCTGATTCGGGGAACGCATGTGGTTTTTACCGTTTCGAGGAGTAAAAGTGCGGGTCGTTTGACCGTGGAGTCGGAGGATGATGTATCGCGGATCGTGTACTCGCAGCAACGCGACCCACATAGCGTGTCGTTCGCGCGCTTGTGATATTATTAAAACATCGCGGTCTGGGAAAATACACGGGCCGCGTCGTACGGCGGGAAATATTATCGTCGTTACCCCGAAACGTAGCAGATATACGAGATAGGAATTTTTGATCGAATCCTTCGGCATACGTGTTCCGTTTACGAGTCGTGCCTCGATCGAGTTCGGAGCTTATCGATTTCTCGTTATCCGGTGAACGCGCGTGCTTCGAACATCGAGTTCGAGCCAGTGCAACGGTTTCTGCGAAATACGGAGGAAAAGTCACGAAATGGAGGCGAGAAGGAACAGGAAAAGAATAACGCTCGGAAACTGGGTACAGTTGAGAATCGTTGGTTGGCGCGTTTCGAATCGAACGATCTTACGATTACCGTTGATCCACCGATCGCGGTCTCCGTCCATCGAAACAACACAAACGCATCGTTTCACGAGTTGCTATTGCATTGCTCGATTTCGTAAGTTCCGAATAACATTTACCTACCCGAGCCCCGACGACTCTACGACGTCTGACCAACTAAACAGCATAAACAGGCCTAACTAGGTTAATGCGCGTTTGCGTTAACGTTACGACCATCCTCCTGCAGTGCATCGAATAACATTTGAATGCATTATGTTCCGATAACGACGATACACCGCGGTAGAACGCACCAGTTTCCACGATTGTTTTCGACTCGGAAATTGTCAACTTTGGAACCTATGTGCAACGTCTATATCGTAATTGGTAATACGTCGATCCACGGGGTTTGGAATATTGCATGGTTTGGGAGAACCGAGTCGGTGGGTTCGCGAAATTGCAAAGTTCGCTTTCCCCGGACCGATGTCGATAATCTTTGTTGCGATTTCGCTGCTCGCCGCTAACTAACCACCGCGCCGTACCACAGAGCCATCCTCGCGTGCTCGACTTTGGCAAGTGTCAAATCCGTTATTCTCTTATCCATAAATTGTCTGTCCTGCGTGTGTGTGCATGTACACGGACGAGCAGATATCGATCGACGCGGGATATGCATTTTGTCGTCGCAATCTGTTCGTCCACTCGGAAGCGACTCAGAGACTAAGGTCAGAGCTATTTCAGGAAAAGCATTTACCGCAGTCGCGATTCGTGCGAACGGACTCGTGAAAAGAGGAGAACGAAATAACTCGTAAAGTTTTTCACTTTTCGATCAGCTTTCCACTGGCTGCGCGTACACGGTTATAATCGAGCAACGGTCGATAGGTTCGACGGCCGACCGTCAGCCTTTTGCTAAATTAGACGTTCGAATTTGAATTTCAAATCGATTCGAACTAGCTGCCAAATCAATTTACCAACACCGTCTGGCTCCGACGCGACGAGACGCGCCGTTCAAAGCGGTCCCGCTGCATCCGTCGTTACATCGAAACGCTGTTTACTCGAAGACCATAGTTTCGTTGAAATTTTACAGAACACACTCTCCTCGTAGGGACAAATTCACGATTTCGAACATTTCCACTCTGCCTCGTCGATCTCTCAGTTTTTTTCGAAACCGCGTAACAGAGATAGGAAATAAAGGAGAACCAAATAGAAGTTATCCCATTCTATTATTTTGCAGAAAGGTGATTACTCTGTCAATAATCGAAGAAGACTCGTACGAGAAGGACGCCTTGTTTTACGTCGAGTTGGGCGAACCGCAGCTGCAAGGAGGTGAGGATCGAACTTTGTAATTCTTTGCCACTTTGTCCTTTCTCATTTCATTTCGCGTCTCGACTTTCCGTTAACATCGAATCTATCTTTTACCAAAAGGAGGAAAACAAAGGAATCGATGCTCGATATCGCGCTTTTATGAAATTACACATTTTCGCTCGATAGATTCAACGACGAGGTATTTACTGGATCGCGTTTGATTGTTTCTCGGTACACGATCATAAATCACAAGTCCATCGACACGAGCAATTACGGAATTATATCGATCGCGGAAGAAAAATGGGAAAACGGTTACGTTGTTCCGTAAACTGATGATTTATCATCGTCGCGAAAAAGAGGATAATGTTTCGTATCACTATCGACGCGTTGTAACAAGATTGATTTTAATAATGCGATTGCTTCGCGCATTTTACGCCACTGGATCCGACACGATTGGACGTAAGTTTTTACGAACGAAAAATCTCCGTATCATTTTGCCAGCTTGTCCCGTTCATTCCTTACGATTCTCGAATAAATTGAACTGGTAACGCTTGCCAGTAATACGTTCGTCCTTTACGAGTTTAGCGCAGAAAAGTTGTTGCTTCGTAAGCGATACCGGTTAGACTTCGAACCGAACAAAATTATTGTAAAACATTTTACACGGTTTACCGTCTTATTTCATTTTTACGCCGTTCGGAATTGCCATCTGCTCTACTGCGTCGGCTCGTTCCCGCTTCGATTTCTAGCCGAATACCTCCCGACCTTTTCACAAGTCCGTGGAGAATCCCTGCGGGTTACATCGGGTTTCCTGGGTGACGCCTAAGCCGCGAAATTTAATTTGTTTTCAGAGGCGCGAGCGAGCGGTCGCTCTTTTGCCACGGTAATCGTGTTTGCCAATGATCGTTCCCGGTTTGTCGACACTCGCTTCGTTTATGCGCTTCGAGTCGAGCGTTCGGAGACCCTTCGACCCTTTTACCCTTTTCGATATCCTCCATAACGACGCCGTACCTAACTGCTGCTTGCTGTTCTTACTCCCGTTTACGTAAACCATGTAGCCACCGTACACGCATAGTTTTCTTTAGGTAACGCGGTAGTTTGGAAAAACGGGAGAAGAGTTTCGCGACGGTAACGGAATCCGAACGAATCTAAAGTAGATACACCTACGGCGTTACTTTTCCCCGGTCGTTTCGAACCGTCTCGCGGAGGATGTCAGTCATCGAGCACGGTTCAGCTTCAGCTACGTATGTATTACTGTAGCCGCGCGTGGGTAGATACGAGGAAGAGCAAACCAAGTACGTACTTGCGTTAGCGGAGAAGATAGCGCGAGTTTCTCCGCGACGATAACAACGTCCGTAATTGAACGCCTCTGGTGATTACGCGATCGTTAAACTCAATTAACCGCCCGTGTGGGATGATCGTGACCCTATAGTCTTGGAGCAAACCTTTCGATAAGCAGTCGCGTGTTTTCGGATTAAATCTGTGCAACGACGAGTATCGCGTAGGCATCGTTCTTTCATTACATTTCCAGCCCGATCGAGAGTCGGTAAGAAAAATAGAACGGTAACCCCGGATGTTGATTAATAGACTCCTACCGAGAGCAAACTTGATCAGCAACGCTCACCCGCACAACCGCGAACGCCATCGTTAAAGCGAGAGTAAAAGCAAGCGTCATCGACACGGAAGAACGATTAGGTTAAAGGTCGTTCGAACGATACTTACGAGAAACGAGGTCGGTTGTCGCGTGAACAGTAAGCGCCAGTTTCAGATAAGTTTGCGAGTTTCTTTGTACGACAGGATCGCGTGGGCACGATAAACGTAACGGAGCAAGGTCGCCGATACCCCGTACTTTCTTCTCCACCTTATCGCGAGAAACGTACTTAAGCAGTAGAAAAGTCGGGGAAAAAAGTAAAGTTACGGTCAGAACGTAAATGTTGGAAAATAGTCTAGATCCGGAGGGATCGCGAACGAATCGAATGAGCATCATCGAGGAGACGGTATCGTCGAAAATCATTTGTCGGGAGCGCGAGTAATCTTCTCGTACGGAAGTAGAGTGGGTGGAATTAATTAAAACGACGGTGGAAATTGAATTGAATTAATTGGCATCGGGGAGAGGTTCGAGGGCCTCGAGTTGATTCGTTTGCAGCAAGTGCATCGTAAACCGAGCAGCGGCGGTGATTTACCGTCCGTCAAATCCTCGCTAAGTTTGCCATTGAAAATGTTAATGGGAACTTCCTTTGGAAAGTTTTCGAATAACGCTACCGCGATCGAACAAACTTCACCGTCCTACGGTGTCTGTCCTTTCATTGATCGCGGAACGAATCACCGTCGGTCGAGTTTTCAACCTCGTCCCAATCGAGCGTAGAATAATATCCGGCGAGACTTTTCCAACTTGTTCCCATTGTCGGCCGTTGCTTTTCTTTCCATCCGCGGAACGAGCCGACAGACTACATAATAGCAAGTAGGTACGATCGACAACTGTTGTGGACGAAACGATATACGTGTCACGGTCGCAGAATCGACGACAATAATGTTTCCATAGGAAATAACCAATAAAGTTTCAGCTTCTCGCTTCGACGGGAGGATATCGAGCAGCGTGTCCACGGCCGTCCGTTAGATAGCGAAACGTATCTACAGAATTGAAATCCCGTTGCGTAGCGACCGCTTTACATGTACATATTCTGTAATATACGAGGAATATTCCTGTTTTCAAAGTTGCCGCACCGTAGTAAATTGTGTATCGACCACGTTATACCGCGATACCGTAGGTACATATCGCGTAGCTACGGCTTGCTAACCATAGAACAAAATAAAGTAAAATTTATCCATGGTAAGCGCGCACCGTCGTTCGAATACATTTTCTCGCGCGAGACTGCAGGTAGTAGACGAAAAAAAAAGGTACGAATAGCAGGAGAATGTATCCGAACGATAGTAAACGACCGGCAAAATAGCCGTATGCACAAGCTTTTTACAGTACAGACGAATTAGTCTTTTTATCGATCGTTTAGAAAAATTTTCATGGCAATGTCGGAGAATTAAATTTGAATTGAAAATTTTGACCGACTTTTCATGTTTCGATTCGACTAGATTATATGCACGTGTAGATAGACACGTAGGTAGAGCGTTACACGAACCAAGTGGTACTTAGCTACGCGTAAGTGGTACGAGTCGGTATATGGTCAGACATCGACGCGTCGAGTTACGCTAGATACATATGTATGTACATTCATACGTGTATCGTAACGAATAGTAATGAAATTTCGTCAGACCTGGTTTCTTATCGTTCGAATACGAGGAATCTTAAATAAGCATTAACTTTTCCGCGCGTCTCGGTTTCGACCATATATCGAACGTTAAGCAAACACCTCGCGAACGGATATTTCAGGCACCGCGTAAGCAGCAAAGTGCGATTTTCTGTTTTCAGCCGAGGCAGGGATCGCAATCGCGGCGGAAATGAAACAACCGGAAGAGAGAACGGCCGAAGAGAAGATGGCACTGCTGGGTAAACCAAAATTGGGCGAGGTGGCCAAAGCTCAGATAAGGATCAAAGAGTCGAAAGAGTTCAAGAATACGGTGGACAAGCTGGTCCAAAGAGCCAACGCATCCATACTGCTCGGTCAGTCGAATATTTTCCAGATTTCGATTTCGTGTTTTGAAAACTTTTGCAACCTCGATACGATCGTATAATGTTAACGGTGACAAATATCACCGTGTGCAGGCACCAGCTCGTGGAAAGAGCAGTTCACGGAGGCGTTGACTGTGAGTGGCGGCGACGAGGACGAAGGGGAAGGAGCCGGTGAAGCAGCCGCACCATCCACCATGGACTATCTCATGCACTCCGTCACGATATTCTGGAAGGTGCTGTTCGCCTTCGTTCCACCGACGGGTGAGTCGCGATATCGAATTACCATCGGAAAGAATAGACTCTGTCTCGTGTTTGGAAATAGGGAAAGATACGACGGCAAAGTTTTCATGGGGCTGCAACTGGCGCGGTGTTATGTTTGTCGACGCGCGTTACGAAAGGCTAAATTTATTCTCGCGCGTCAACCGTCCCATGAAATATCTTGTTATCGTTGCGAGCGATCCTTCACGGATCAAGTTTTAAAAATAAAGCCGTCGAGACGGGATACTCGATGATCGTCACCGCGTCCGTTTACGCGCGCTGTTCGATTAAAATTTCCAAACTTTTATCGCGAGAGATCGAGGCGTCTCCGCGGACTGTGATCCTCTTTTAAATTCGTCACCGGTTACAACCTTGTTTCGCAGGGACGATCAGTTTTCAAGTATACGTTATATAATTGCCGTAGGAGAAATTGGAAAGGAGCCAAGAATTAGTGGAAACTGAAGGGACTAAAGTGGTATTTCCGTTTCGTCGCGTATTATGGAGAAACGTTGAAATCCACTTGTTTGGGATTCGATCGCCGCGGGTCGATAGTCACTCGACTCGAGCAAACCATGTTCCCGACACGCTCTCGAGGTAATAATTCGCGCGCATCTCGTCCTCTCGAGTGCAAACTTACCTCTCGAACGCGTAACAAGTTAACCGTGCCTCTGGACAATTATCATCGGCCGTACGCGCGAAAATCTAACGCGTTTACGATCGCAACAATTTGTACCCAAGCCTCGAAACGACTTACCGAACGTTTTACGTTCCCACTCCCTATATACGTACAATAGCTGGGTAGGTAAGTACTTTACGCGTCGCTCTAAACATTTCACGTAATCCCACCAGTGGGAACTTATTAAATATTTAATTAGCTCTGTCGCTGCACCTAGACGCGCTAACCGTTTAATAATCGTTCGATCGAAGGGACGTCGGAGAAAAGTTACGCCGCTCGCGTGAAAGGGGAAAACGTGTCACGCGAAGCCGTGTATTTTAATACGCGTACAACAAGATCGAAGTAAACTGTTAAACGGCTAATTACACGTTATTCGCATCTCTCGCACTGGACTTCCTCAGCCATTCCAACCAGTGGATCGTAAACCGTGCTAGAAAGGGGAGAAGGAAGGTCGGTCGCCGTTCGCCGACCCAGCGTCCCTGATTAAATTCACCCTCGAGGAATAAGCGGCCTCTTCGCGTACAGAGAATATACAAATAGTCCTTAGAAATTTCGAAAATGTTGCTTAAACCAAAGCATTCGATTATCGTTAACACTTGCTGCTACCAATGTATTATAGAAACGGTAACGACTAGGAAACTATCGGAATCGAGGAATAAAAAGATCGTACGTCGCGAATCCTGCTTATACGAAGCCAGGAAATTCGCATTCCCGGAGATCGATAAGTAGTAATAATCCATAGAGCGTGTCTACCGTGTCTTCCTATTACGAGCCAGTGTACAGCAATACCTCTCGACCGGTATTAGAGCCTAACCCGGCGAAATGAAATTTCCGCAGGTAATTTCCGCACGGGCCGCAATCCCAGCGCAGCCTGCCGGATATCGATCGACCTTACCAACCACCCGGTGCTCATTTTTACACAAGTTTGCCCGCTTGGCTCTGACAACTTGCCGGAGGGAAACGGAATTACGCTTTTAATTGAGAAATATATTCGCGCGATTACGATCCACCCTCCACATCCACCAGACCAGCGGAATTGTTCAATTTATTCAGGCCGCGATATTCGCGAACGCCGTACACACGATCGATCTCCTCCGCTCTTTGTTAATGCCGATTGCGTATCGTTCCTCCGCGGGTGTAAACAACTCGATCGTTTCGTTCTCGTAAATTTCTACGAACCGGTTAAAGGATCCTCCATTTTACCCTTTCGATTACAAGAATCGTTCTATTTTTATCATAATTTCACAGCATTCTCGCGTCGCGTTCTAACGGGCCGTACGCACTTTTATACCAGAGTGAATAACTAATTGCCCGTTTAAATTATTTAAGGGCTCGGTGTTTAGGATGGCCAACTTTCTACCAAATCCTAGCCAGCGAGTCGAATCGTACAGAAGGGAAGTGGAAGAGAGAGAGAGAGAGAGATGGTTGGCCCATTGTGTACCATGCAATTAGCCCGGCGTTTACGTCGGCGTCGTTCAGAACTCTGTACAATCCACGCGAACACCTCCGGTATCTCGTGCAGGACACTGAGTTACAGCCTCCGACGTACATATTCCGCTACCATACCACAGCTGGTATTACAATTGCGCCTACCAGCGATACTATAACCTATTATCACGGACGAGGAACAGAACAGGCTGGACGTCGAACGAAACTTTTTGCACTAGCCCACGTTCGAATTGCGAATCAAAATAATATCGATTGTGTAGATAGATACTTAGGTTAGGGGATTCTTACGAAGGGAGATCGATGGAACTTTGACTCGATCCATCTCTCTTCGGGTCTCCGCTCGCAGCAACCTCCTCGTGGTGAGACCTGGTAATCGGTATTACTCTCGACGAACGATTCTTCGTCGCGGATATTACCGAGCTGATTGGCTGCGAACTTCGAACAGAAGAATGGATACGTTATGATAACATAGAAAACATTTGTAACGCGTAAGAATAATTATGTAACTGTGTCTATTTTAATGAAATATATGGATAACTATGTAATTTTAATCCTTGCTTGCTTACTTCCTTAAGAGGAATAAAGTTTTACGGGATATGGGATGGTAGGAAGCAATCGGTGCCATCGATGGATTCAACGGGTACCGCTAGTTGATCTCATTTACGGCGTTCTCAGGTCAGCCCGTGGCTATCGGATCTATGGTTTCTCTGAATATATTGAACCGCGTCGATGGGGTACCTGCGGCTTGATTTATCGACAAACCATACCGCTGGAACCGCCTCGTGTGCTGATCGCGATGGACCACCGACGAATTTGTCCCGGGAGGATTCCACCCTCGCGACCGGATACGTCAGTTTCTCTTGTTTCGCAGCCGACAAAGTGATAACTGATAACTCGTTATCGCGCCGTGACTCTCGCGTAAGTTCCAAATTTTGTACAAAATCGTTGGATGGCAGGACGCAAAAGGCAACTAGGTTTCTATTGAAAACGAACGTAAAGCATCGTCCAGTAAAAAACGATCGCGTTAATAATTTCAAACTTATCGCCTATTGCTCGAGCAGCTTTTGGTGCTGCGTGTATTCGCACATGGTCCAAGTAACTATGGTCGTTAGGAAGTTTGGAAATCCTGGTGGAAAGTTGGTTCGTGGGTCGGTAGGTTTCGAGGATCTCCAGAAGGATCGGACGTCGGATACAAATTCCAGAACAGTGGCGGTTAGCCAACTCTGTTTACGAACTTTGGAAACGTAGACGGCTACCGAGGCCAGACATTCGAACAGCGAAATATCATTTCGCCGAGTTCCACCAGTTCCGAATGTCTCGTGCGATTCTTCGGAAAGTTTCCCGACTATGGAAGAACCGATCGCAACAGTTATACCTAATTCTTTCGTAACGGATTTCGAATCGATTTACGCGTAATCCTGCGCGTATTCGTGCGCGATACAAATGGGTGGAATGGAAATTGTACGAGTAACGGGATGCGACGCGACGGTTAAATTTCCCCTGTTGGGAAATCCATCTACGTATTATCGATCAGCAAAACCCTCAAGGCCACAATTTCATGCTGGGAACGTTGGAAATAAATAATTCAACGCAACGAACAAATGAAAATCGAAGAGATCCGCCAGCGACGAAACTAAGGAAAAGAGCATCCCGTATAGTTTGACGACACACAAGCGGCCAAACATCATTCTCGCGAGTCGAGATAACGAGGGATCCTTAAATCTCGCTACGTTGGCTTACCGTCGACTCCGAGAGCTTATGCTGATTAGGAAATGCAGCCGAGTTTCGAGTACACTAATCAAAACCCGGAGAACAAGCTTACGTATAATAGCGTCGCACCGATCTCTTTCTACGTCGCGTTGAATGCACGTACACAGCGAATTTCATTTACACGATTATCGTATGCAGTTCCATGGACAAACGCAGCATTTCCATTTCTTCGATTCGTTTCGATGCTAAATAATGTTACGTCGTTCGTATAAAAACTCCACCGCGATCGTTAATTCGACGTCTCGATATCGCGTGCTTTCGACAACCTTAAAAGAAGACAGAGATTAATTGTAAAGGGGTTAATTAGCTCTGAAACGCGCAGTTAACCAAAACACAAGAGGCCCCGAGGAAAAAAATACAACTCTGGTCTACGAGCTTAATTAACGCTTTAGCCATGACTGTGTAGGGGCGCGTTATGCGAACAAACATGAACGCGTCCTTTAATTCAACCAGTTTCGTTGCTCTTTACGCTGACGCGCGGCAATAGCAGAAAACCGATAAAAGTTGCGTCGTATTGGATTTCAGATATCGCTGGCGGCTACCTATGCTTCGTCGTCAGTATAATCGGGATCGGCGTGGTGACAGCGGTAATCGGGGACGTTGCATCTTACTTTGGATGCACTTTGGGAATCAAGGATTCCGTAACCGCGGTGGCTTTCGTCGCTCTTGGCACCAGTATACCCGGTAAGTACGTATACCGTTACCGGCTCTCCTCCAGCAATTCACTAGACGAACAGCTGGAACCTGCATGAAGGAATTTTCTACATGACAAAATCTCCTCTCGCGATAAGTTCTGTTATTAACAAACAACGACGCCACCGAGCACAATTACCGCTAATTACGTGCAACCCGTTTATTATGCATACGTATGTACAACGCGCGGAAGCTTCGCGAACAGGCAAGGACATCGCGTTGAAACAACTTACGAATGCTACGACAAATGGAAGATTATTTATCATTATCGCAATAATAAACCAATCTGACTGTCATACCGATCTACAAATTCTTCTCATAATTCACTGAATTGTTATTGATGAAAAAAAAAATTTCAAATCGGTCTACAAAAATTATTTTCAGTTGCGAGGGTCAATTGCAATCATTTTTGGTCGTTACACGTATCCCCGAAATCCTACTCAGTTTCGAGAAAAAAATTAGGCTTGCGGCGTCGGTATACAGAATTTTATTATACTTTCTACCGTAAAGAACGGAAACTATTGTATTTGTCCAGAAAGTTGACCGTTTTGTCGTCGAGAGCGCTGCTCGTAAGAATATCGCTCGCGACAAACTCGGGAACTTTATCTTTTTAATAACGAACGCGCGTAAATTCGTGCGACCGACTCTGAATATGGAACTACTTAGAAATCGACTGAACGATGCGACGAAAGATCGTTTACTAAATGTCGCTGGAATGTTTTCAGGGAGCAAGCTCAATCGCGTGTATAATTCCCAGAATTATTTAATTAAACACTAGGATGTTAATTTTCTCGTCGGTGCGGCTCAGCGAATTTTCGGCATTCACCGAGGGGCTATTCAGTATTCGCTTCGACGCGTTTATTTCACCGTTGTGAAAGAGAAGTTTCCGGAAAGTTGTAACCAGGCGGTCAACGCGCACTTTTTCACCGGGTTTCTTTTGAGAAAATCAAGTATCAGCTTATTATGTGGAAGGAAAGAAAAGCCGCGACAATCGAGTCTCTTTCGTTGCTTTGAAACGAGGTCCAGCTTTTCAGAATTTTTCACCACCGAAGGCTCGTTTGTTCACCGGAGAAAAGACCGCCCTCGAACGAGATTTTCTCCACGAGGGCGGAACTTTTTTACCAAGTTTATAGAATATGCGTGCACGGATACGCCTAGACGCACGTAAAAGAGAACCAAGTTGCTCGGCCGGAACCATACGTTCCCACGAGTCTACGCGTTTTCTTCGAGAATAAAAAGAAATTTTATCCGAACTTTAAATCTGCATTTCTATTCTTCGTTTACCCTCGAACGTTCCAATCCGTATTGGAACGTATAATCGTTCGACGCCGAGACCACCGATAACGGTTATTAAAAGCTACCGAGAAATATCGACCATTCGACCGTACCGTTTCGACAACTTTTATTTGCCTTTCAATTTATAGGCGTCCTTGATCGAGGACACGGTAACCAAACGAACTTGTTAAATTCGAGCAAAGCATCCGTCGTATCGAGGTTATCCAATATTATATATGTATATGTATAGCTGAGATCGGAACGTATGCTGCGAACATTACGATTGGCATACTCCAATTACCAGGTCGCGGGTCTACGTCTCGAAGGAAGGAATATTCATTATAGTTGTTAATATTTTATAAATTCCGACTAATATTAAACGCATTAATTGAAAACATTTAAGAAGGAAAGGGATTGCGTAGGGGCAGAGTAGGACCAGGCAAGGATATCTAAGTACGTGATTTTATTGCAGACACATTCGCGAGTAAGGTGGCTGCCTGCCAGGACAAGTACGCCGACGCGAGTGTCGGAAACGTGACCGGAAGTAACGCGGTGAATGTCTTCCTGGGAATTGGCATTGCATGGAGCATCGCGGCCTTTTACCATGCTTGCCACGGCAATCGGTTCGAAGTGGAACCCGGCAAGTCAGTACCGATTTACCTTCCTTGCACGATATATTGATACATATACACCGTACACCGTCTCGTTACACCCTTTACCTCCAAAGTAATAACCGATTCTTCTGATTCCGCATTTTAAATTTCTTCTCGAACGTGCAAACTTTCCAATAAATAAACACGCCGACAGAATAAAAGGGAGTTAACGAACATGGAAATAATTCTGTTTGCAACAGCTTAGCTTTCTCCGTGACGTTGTTTTGCACGGAAGCCTGCTTGGTGATCTTGGTTCTACTGCTGAGGCGGTCGAAGACCATTGGCGGCGAACTTGGAGGACCTTTTGTACCAAAGGTGATAACATCCTTGACCCTTTTTTCCCTGTGGGTGTTCTACCTCGTTATGTCGACCCTCGAGGCCTACGGCGTTATCGAGGGCTTCTAAGGAGCCCGAGCGACGCCAAACGTCGGCCTACCTGCTGCTGCGGCGCGGCGTGGCGTGACGTGGCGTGGCGTGGTGTGGCGTGGCGTGGCGTGGCACGGCGTATCTTATCACTCGCATCCGCCAAGACGTGTGCTCGACGAACCAGTCTCTCGGCAAGTATACAACCTTATCCTCGATGCTTACGATGATGCTTCTATTATCCACAAGTTCTTTCGAATCCATTCTCCTACGAACAAATCGGTTTAAATCGATTAAATCGATCGATGAGTCGATTGGCCGATTCTATCTTGAGCGCGTTGCGTTTTAAACTGTTCTATCTGTTGCCGCGTAGAACGGGGACAAAGTCGCGTAAAGTATGCATTCCGGCCGTGGGCAGTGTTGTATAAATAGATGCAGACACCCATCGTGTTCTACTTCCGTACCGGTATTTTTTCCAACCGCGCCGAACGTAGAGGAACACGCGTTACGTGGTTCGTACACGCTCGAGGTTTAATCCGCGACTTATCGTTCGACCGACTGGTCTTTCTTTGGTGAAAGAAAAAAAGAACTCCCGAGGAAGACCGGGGTAACCCTCTGCGGGAGCTGGTTCGAAGATCAACAATTCTGATCGCAGCGAGCAAATAATTAATGACTTTGCACGGCGTATCTGGTACCGACTGCCGAGCATAAAAGTCTCGCATTGCGTAACGAGGCGGCACGCGATACACGCTGTGCACCGAAACTTCAGCCGTTCGTGTTTTCTTGCAAAGGCAAACTTAAATATGGCCTCGGATCGGGGCGTCGCGACGTCGTGGCTCGCGTAAACACGGCCGAGAACGGACGAACGAGTTCGAATCCTCGGACGCGAACTCCGCCAGAAAATCACTACGGGAAATGAATAGCATAATATAACGACCGCGCGATCGAACGCGACTGGGAGCAGGTTGAATGCTATCGAACGTTACTGGACGTGGCCGGGACTGATGAATAAGGCTGGTAAAACTCTTTTTATCTGACCGATATTTATCGTTTCTCCTTTCAGGATAAAAGAGAAGCGGAATCGAGGGGGTGCGATTTCGCTGGGGCGAACAAACTCTCCGTACTGTGCCGAGAAAAAACTGCTACTAGTAGCTTTCACCCTCTCCCCAACGGGACGATTAACAACGAACGTGATCGCGCGAACGTTAGTACGAATGACCGATGAATATATGAAAAAAAATTAGTATGCCTGAGAACGAACGAGTGATTATCTATTGAAAAGCGAACGGAGGAAAATTAAAACAAATACCAAAAAAGAAACCAAAATCTTCAAGTAACGAAAAAAAAAAAAAAACTGGGATACATAGATAAGAAAAATAATGGAATCTAGTCTCGAACCATGTTTTGTTCGTTCACAGTGGTAAAGAAATATACAAAAGTAGCGTATTTATTTAATCCCTCGAGGAACAGAGATTAGTATGAGTACCCGCGATTGCAACGATCGATGAGCCTTTTCTTCCGCAACGATCGTCGATCGGATCGTCGCTACCGCAATGAAACATGTTTTGTTATTTGTTAAAGATAATTAGTCCATGAAACGTAATCAAGTACGGAGGTCGTAGATCGCAACCGACACGATGGCCTTCGTTCAAACGTCAACGTTTCTGTTGGTATTCACTGCCTTTGATCGAAGGTCGCTCGTCGTTGCTCTCGGCGCGTTAACTTAAAGTTAAGTGGATCGGACGAACATTGTGCATACGATGGCGATGCTGCGTATAGGTATACGTGGATGGGTGTTCGGCACTTGCAAAATAATGGTTCGAACAAGCCTCGTGTCACGATCGAACCAGAAAATACATATTGGCCGCACAAGATCGGTTAAGATGAGCTAGCGTCTACAAGCCAGCTACCACAAAGGTTCTCAATCCCTTGCCTTATCATTTCATTTCTGTACAAATCGCGTCGAGTCACCGAATCAAATTCGTTGTTACCAACGGTGAAAACGACCGTTGAATAAATTTTAAGAAACGTTGCAACACAGTCCGCGACTGGCCGTATCTATCATAGTCATACTTCTTCTTCCTTACCGAAACGGCCGACTAAAGCTTCAACCGCGTAGGTACTTAAATACACGTTTTATCGAAGCTATAAAGTGTTTCGACTTTAAAAAATGACGCCTACACGAAACACACTGTATGTTCGTTCGCGTAGAACGGTCACGGACCAGGCTTCGGCTTCGCGTTTCATTTGAGTTTGTTGGACGAAAAATTATGGGAACGGGGGGAAGATTGATGCTAGTGGCGCGCGAGAAAGGCAGCGAAAGAGCAACGAAATCGTCGCAGAGACGTTGTCGACGCGACGCGACGCGACGCCAGTTCAGCCCAACATTACATGTATAAAGGGGAAAATAAGTATATAGAGTATGTATTGCATACGATATAGATATTTTAATAAGAGGATCGTTGAAAGAGATTTACGTCTAGTAGGACGTACATGTATATTGACGACACTCGATAGCAAAGCGTTGAAGTGATAAACCGTAAATGGGATCCGGAATGTTACCAAGTTCTCGTCGCGCGACTGCTGGCCGTACGATCGTCATCCATGCACCGTGAAATCAAACAGACTCTCGCTGGAGAACCGATGCGACCAGAATCAACGTCATCGATCGACCGCACGCGTGAAATGTACGTTCTGCTACCGGGTACCTGATTCGTCCTCCAATTTCTTTTCGAAAGAAACGAACGTTAACGCGTCGCACACCGGTGGTGAATTTCTCCCCAATATGTGTACCTACATACGCTCCGAAGATCAACCAGTTAACGTGCCTTTGCACGGTTAGCTATGGATTTTTTTTTATCAAACAGTTACGACCAACGAGACAATATCGTCGTTCGCCATGAAAATTTCTCGTTTCTTATCAGAGGGAGAGAAAACAGACTAAATTCTCGGCAGATCATGCACTCGTACTGCATACTTTTCAATCACGTTCGATGGAACAAACAACAAGTATATAAAAAAACAACCGGTTCACGATGCGTTAAGCTACAATTGTTTGTTGCTTGCAAATAGTTACTAAACTTTTCGGTGCCAAATTTCAATGCGATAGCTGTGATTGCAAACGATTCGAACGCACAGCATGCGTCGTGTGCGAAAGTATCGTAGTCGTAGTTTCTTCGTTTCCGAACTACGCAATAATATAATAATAATATTAATAATAATATTAATAATCATAACAATAATAATATTAATAATAACAATAACAATATTAATTATAATAATAATAGTAATAATAGTAATAATAATGATGATGATGATGATGATGATGTGTATTAATTTTCGAAGAACGACGCTTCGGTCGCATCGGTTTTTGTTCGTTCGGTTATACGACGAATCGTTCTCGACCGGAAATTGTTCTCAAAGGATCGCGCGATGTAATATTCTACACGCTATCTCGCACGATAGATCGAATATTGAAATTGTATTTTCTAGGCGGTAGAGGCAAAACACAGTAGAGAAGGCAATCGGGGAACGAAACGAAATCAAAAGTGCTACGCGTACCTCGACGATCGAACTGTCCAGCAGCGTATATCGACGAAAATTTCTGGAACCGGACGATCTCTCTTCTTCGTGCATTTATTCCAATTACTCTTCATCAGGCCGACCGGCCCGCCTGCGCAAGTCCTTTCAATCCCACTAAGCGGAACCCGCAACAAAACGAATTCAACCGCGTTTATGCCGCGATGGCCGTTTAAATTCGTTCGTTTTGTTCACGGTGCGTCGCTTTCAAACTGGCCATACTCGCCTCTTTCATTTATTTCACTGTGCTTTTCTTTCATCGGGCCCTCGTCGAGAAATTTCGTTCCGTTCGCGCAACAGTGACCGGCGGCAGCCAACAAACTGGCCAGCTTCTCGCGTCTTTCGTTCTCTGTTTTTCGTTTCAACAAGACATTTCCCAGACACGCGACAAACATCGCCGATAAATATTTCCGCCGGTAAGAAATAAAAATTGATCTAAGCGATCTGAACGTGACGTCCGAGGTGTTCGATTACAAATCTATACCTTAATCGCTTACAATCAATTCCCGCCGTTGAAAGTTTCGGTCGATCGATCCGAGATCTCAAGTCCAGACTTCGTTTCCTCTTCACTTAGGTATCGGGATTAAAACGTGTCAAGACTGAATAAATTATCGATTTACCCGAAACGTGGACAAACGAAGCCTGCACCAACGAAACCACTCCGGAACATGTTGATACTCGAGCATTCGATTCGATCGATCGATCGATCTTACATGCATACTTAGATACATAGGTAGGATCGACAAACGAAACGGGCGAAAAGCGGAATTTCGCTCTACGACGAGCATTCTGTTTTCTCGGATCTAAAGACACCGTTTCCGCGTGGCCAGCCCCAACACAACCCTTATCAACGCCTCGAATCGATAACGATCATTGCGCGTAACACGCAAATATTTCAAACACGTTACAACTATTATACTTATGTATTAATCTTCGCGATTGGGTCCACCGCGTTGCTCGAAACGAACGATTCTCTCGATCCGAATCGAACCGGATTTAAATTCCATATTTAAGAGTTTTCTATATTATACGAACCGTCGATACCGACGTTTAGTCCAATGGACACGAATTAGAGGAAGATTTTAGTTTAGAATCGGCACCTGCCAATTCCCGTAGAATTAGGTTGTTATCAAGAACGAACCGACCCAATCGTAACCCATTACGATAGATGCAGATTCGTGAAAACTAACAAGACTCGAAAAGCAAATATCCTCGTTTTTATCTACTATCAAAGTTTCCGACCAATTATCGCTCCGAAACTCGAAGACCTCGTAATCGTTCTAGTTTCACCGCGACAATGAATGTTACATTGTACATCGTTTTAGTCTTGTACCTTTCAAGTCAGTTTAATTATTTCTTAATGACAATCAGATAAACTTTCTAACGTTGTATAAAACAAAAAAAAAGAACCAAACAAACTAACCAACGGTCTTTACTTTACGTAAATCGCCAACACTGTGTATCTGCATCGATCAATCTATCGTCAGAATTTAAAAGACTACGGTCATACGCACAGCCAGGACCAGTAAAAAGCGAAACAACCGGATCAAATAGTTTCAATTGCGTCTGTTTTACGACTTGTAGAAAAACAAAGGGACAAATTTTAGTCGTAACGGATCGTCTATTCTCCGTATAGTTTTCGATAATAGTACTTCGGTATACACTAGTTTTGTCTACGATTAGTCGAT